GCACACGAACGTTCGCTAGGATAAGCTTGAGACTAATATCTGAAATTTAAATCCTAGTCTATATATATAATTTGAAGCTTGAGACTTAAATCCAAGTTTGGAACTTGAGTCTTGAATTCAGATATTCAGACTCTAGTCGTCGATCTATGAGTCGTTAATGTCTCTTCGTGTCGTGTTGTCACAGGTCGTTCTTATTGTATCACGTCGTTCAGAATGATGATACAATGCATAGACTCTCTCGTGCAAAAAGTCCAATCGGGAGTGGTGATAAACTTCGAGAAAATCGGCCCGGATCCGCCACTGTTGGCCAACGAGACGTTACACCAAGACGAAGAGGAGAATGAGGAGGAGGGCAACTCGTCGAATGGGCCTCGGACACAGTATCCCAGCGCGATGGTGCCGCCGGGCAACACGGCCTGGCATTCTTGTCGGCGATTGATTTACGTGCCGCGTTCAGCGCAAAAGGGCTTCGCGGTTGGATTCTGGCCGATTCCTGAAAGTTTCTGGCCTGATCTAAGCGCTAGCTCATTGCCGCCAAGATCAGCACATCCTAACGTAAAGTTCACTTGTACTAGCCAGGAGCCAATGGTGATCGAGAACCTACCTTTCGACAAATATGAATTGGAGCCGAGCCCGTTGACACAGTACATACTAGCACGGAAGCAACCGACGATCTGCTGGCAGGTCTTCGTCGCGAACTCTTACAAGTCGAGCGAGGTCGGCCATCCGTTCGGCTATCTAAAGGCCAGCACAAATCTAACTTGCGTCAATCTCTTTGTTATGCCTTACAACTACCCCGTACTGTTACCTCTACTGGAAGAGCTCTTCAAGGTGCACAGATTAAAACCGACCAACGAATGGAGGGCGCAGTTCCAAAATTACGTGAGAACTATGCCCACTTATTACGCTGCTGTAAGTTTAACTGTACTGGTGCACAATTTAGGAGCTTGCTTCTGCGTGACAATGCATTTCTTTTTATAGCTTGCGTTACCTTTGCGTTAAATATAGCCTTTATAATTTTACCAGGTCGCACTGTGTCCCTCTGTGTGTGTGTGTGTGTGTGTGTCCCTCTGTGTGTGTGTGCGTGTGTCCCTCTGTGTGTGCGTGTGTGTGTGTGTGTGTGTGTGTGTGTGTGTGTGTGTTAAAACGCACACACAGATATATGTATATACGGAGTTTTCAGGTACTTAAGATTTTAGTACTTACCTTGCACAATTTCCCCGTAAATCCTTCATACAATTCCCGTGTTCTTCCTCCAAAATATGGCTTCAAAGACCGGACTTTTGTGCAAAAACTAAATTCTCACAACAGTTATTGTGTATAATTTTGCAAACATTGTAATTGAGACGATATTTTGTATATTCATATATTTTGTAGTCGCTAAGAAGAGCGTTAACCAGGATGGGCACGCCCACAGCCTTAGCTCAGACGCTAATACCGGACAGTATGGACAATACTCTGTCGTACAGTGTCTTGAATTACCTGAAGCGTATGAAGAATCAAGCCAAGATCGAGTTCGATCGTCTTTGCAACGAGGTGATCTCCAAGCAAGTTACGGCTTCGAATCTTACGAAAAACCTGTCCAATTGCGGGACAAGCGCGGTGACGGAAGGAGTAAGAGTTATGCCGAGAACGCCATTAAAGAAGGATCTGGTAAGGATAAATATATGCATCGCATCTTGTAGTCTGCGCGATTTTGACGAGTTGCAGATTAAATAAATCTTAATAAAAAATAAATGATTTACACACGCACACACACACACACACACACTTTGTTTACAATTATGTATTGTGAATTTTTGCTTGGTTCTATAATTTTTCTCGTTATTTCTTATGATTATGGTTCTTATTCTTATGATTATGGATAGTTATATTTCAGTTGTATTCCATTTCGTATATTATCAATTAGCAGAGAAGATGAGAGAGAGAGAGAGAGAGAGACAGGGAGGGAGGGAGGGAGGGAGGGAGGGAGGGAGGCAGAGAAAGAAACGAAATCCTCTTCCATTCTTTTCCGATCCTTCAATTTTCAACGCGATGTTTTCCATTTATACGACTTGTATCATATTATTTATGTCAATTTCTATTGACACAGATCATATCAACGGGAGTAAAATATTCAAGTATGCTCAACTGCGGAAAAATAGTAATAGTAGTACTTCTGATCGATTCATGCCAATTTTTATTTTGTTCTTAGATGTAGATAAATAAATAAGTAAATAAATAAACAAAAGGCAAAATTTTGCACCGATATGTATTCATACGGTATTTATATGTTTAATAAAGTCGTATAACGAAGACCACACACACACATACACATACATACACACACACACACACACACACACACACACTTAGAGCTTTAAATGCAGTGTGTTACGATCGCATGAGTTACGATTTAGTCATTGAATATTGGATATATTTTGTTTCACGCGTTATTATGCATGGATATTAAGGTCATTCTACAATACGTGTCGTAAGTTGTAAGCCGTAAGAACTGACCAATTATAACCGATTATTTTTGTAATAATCGACTGTGATTCGCCAATTCTTACGGCTTACAACTTACAACACGTATTGTAGAATGACCTTTATGCGTTGCTTACAGGTGTCTCATCCCTTATTGCAAGACAAATTCACTGGCTTGCGCGATCAGCTGAACGAATTCGGTGGTTTCGTGGTTGGACTGGTGAGGAACCAGCAACAGCAACGTGGTGCGCATAGTTACAGAAACGCATTCGATGTCCCCAGGAAGTCTCTTCTCGATCAAGTAGTGAGGATGCGGGCGAACTTTTTACAACCTGGTTTGTTACACACCAAGTTGCTTGACGACGATTACGTTCACTCTATGCCTTTAGCTCAGATGGGAAATTATCAGGAGTATTTGAAACGGATGACACCACCGCTACGTGAGATCGAGAGCATACCAGTCAGGCAGCACATGTTCGGTGAGATATTGAGATTATTATGATTATTTTCATATAAATTCACAAAAATTTGGAGAACGCGCTGAAAATTGTTTACAAGATAAATATGGATTTGAAGTGCTGCATCGCACAATTCGAAACATGAACATTGCAAACATAATTCTTTTCATTTTCTTCCCAAGTCTTTTACATCGTTAAAGAAACTTCAAATTTGGTGGCCAATCCATTTTAAAGATCTGTAGCCTGTGTGATTAAACGGATTATCCGTTGATTCGAACCGATTGTTCATGGTGCATTTAAAGACAATTTCTAATGCGACGAAATACTTTATATCGGCACATAGAATGCGCGAAAATAAATAATTTTAGCTCTTGTGAAAAAACGGGGCACATGCTCGTCGTCGTCGTCGTTGTCGTGGTCGTCGTCGTCGTCGTCGTTGTCGTCATTGTCGTCGTTGTCGTCGTTGTCGTCGTCGTTGCCTGCCGCGTCGTTTCCCGCTGCGCAGCAATTGTTCTCGTATTTTGTATTAGGAAAAGCTAATAAATTGGCTAGCTATAAGCTTTATAACGAAGTTTTAAAACAAAATACAATTTAATGATAATGACAATCGAATTAGTTAGTAACACGTGCTAATAATATATTTGTGTAGAAACATACAGAGTGTCCGGTAATTAGCTGCTAAGCCGAAGTGTGAAGGTAGATATTCGGTTGAGACAAACATAAAAGTCCCATACTGTTTTGCGAGATTCGCAATGATTATCGAGTTATTAATGAGAGAAATCTGAGGAGTGGGAGCGCGCCGACATAGATGATTGGGAGAAGTTGGTTGCAGTTGCGCGGCCCAGCCGACCCAGCAACTGATGGCGACGTGCGGCGAGACGTTGATGCAGCGAGATAAAACAACGAATAGCGGCGCGTTGTCTTTCCCCTCGCCGCGGACCGGCAACACTTTCTGGATCGACTGGGCCGCGCTGTGGGCTGTAAGCAGCTGCAACGCTTCTCCAATCATCTGTGTCATTGGCGCGCTCCCACTCCTCAGATTTCTGTCATTAATAACTCGATAATTATTGCGAATCTCGCAAAACGGTATGGGACTTTTATGTTTGTCTCAACCTAATCTACCTTCACACTTCGGCTTGGCAGCTAATTACCGGACACCCTGTATAATATGTAAATTATGTTTATTATGTATCACTATTGTGTGTGTATGTGTATGTGTGTGTGTGTGTGTGTGTGTGTGTGTGTGTGTGTGTGTGTGTGTGTGTGTGTGTGTGTGCGTGCGTGCGTGCGTGCGTGCGTGCGTGCGTGCGTGCGTGCGTGCGTGCGTGCGTGCGTGCGTGCGTGCGTGCGTGCGTGCGCGCGCGCGCGCGCGTGTGTGTGTGTGTGTGTGTGTGTGTGTGTGTGTGTGTGTGTGTGTGTGTGTGTGTGCGCGCGCGCGCGCGCGCTATTATTGAAAATATATAAAGTATATTGTTCACGATTTGATCTTTTCACAGGTAACCCTTTCAAGATCGACAAGAGAATGATGGTGGACGAAGCGGACATCGACATTGTGGGCACGACGTCGTCCACGTCCAAGAGTGGTCTCAACAAGCGCACCTTGTCGCAATCGGACAGCGGTGGTCCTCCATCTCCGAGGCTGTTGCCTAACAAAAGGAAGCCCGGACCAATACCGAAGGACGTGATCGTACGACGGCCCTCGTACTCTCCTACAAGCACGCCGCCGAGTTCGCCGATTCCGTGGATGGTGGATACCATAAAAAGTCAAGCGGCAGCGACGTCAGTTACAGCCACGTCGGCGTTGTTGGTCGTCGATCTGGGTTCCTCGCCGAACACGGTATGCACGAGTAACGTGCTGCCGAGCCATGTGCCGCCGTGCTCTGTCTCGCAGCCAACAGAGAAGCTTGTGAACGGTCTCGCGGAGATGCCGACGATACCTATGTTCGAACCGACGGAGCACGTTAACAACCACATGGACACACCGCCCACTCTAACGCCTGTCGTCAATGATGTAAACGACGTACAGAAGGGTGATGTTAAGAGTGAGAGAACAGACGGAGCGAAAGGCGAGTGCGGCCGGTTATTGTCCGTTAACGACAGCGTCGTGGAGAACAATGTGAGAATAGGTGATAGTGCTCCCGCCGAGGAGAGGTTGGCGAACCACGTGGAGGAGAGACCGAGGCTCGAGAGAGAACGAAAGCCGACGAAGAGGGAGTTGGAGGACATGAGGCGACATAATCTGAGTATACGAGAGCTTGTCTACAGGGAGGTTCGACGAAAGGGCAGAAGTAAGTCTACCTCTATCGTGAACAATCTATCGATTGTTTGCTTGTTCAAATTTTTCACGGGCAACGGCAAGGAAATCGTAAAAAATTCTTTCATTGGAACAGGGATCTGTTGCAAATGTCCCGAAAAAGATGGACTAAAGTAGGCCGAAAACTATTCTATTCGGGTCAGTTTCACTTTCAGTTTTTCTTTGTTCTTTTATGTAATCGTAGACCAGCGCTTTCTCGTAACCAAAGACGTTGCGTAGAGCGTTATCTTAAGAGATAAGATTGAAGAACTGTGATATGCTGTGACGTGAATGCTACCTCCTTTTCTTTTTCTCCTTTTTCTCATTAATCCTTTCATTAATCTCGTATTAATATTTCACAATATAACTCTCTCTCTCTCTCTCTCTCTCTCTCTCTCTCTCTCTCTCTCTCTCTCTCTCTCTCTCTCTCTCTCTCTCTCTCTCTCTCATCTTTTATGATGTAACTTCGTAACTATGTATACTATTTTAAAAGAATATAAAACTATATAGTTGTACAATTATATGAGTATACACATCTAAATGTAAAATTATGTGCGTGTTATAAATGTCGATATGTGAATTTATATTATACAGGGTGTCCGGTAGTTAGCTGCCAAGCCGAAGTGTGAAGGTAGATTGGGTTGAGACAAAAAAAAGTCTCATACCGTTTTGCGAGATTTGTAATAATTATCGAGTTATTAATGACAGAAATCTGAGGAGTGGGAGCGCGCCGATAACACAGATGATTGGAGAAGCGTTGCAGCTGCTTAGGCCACAACGCCGCCCAGTCGATCCAGAAAGTGTGAAAGGGAGAGGACAACGCGCCGCTATTGGTATTTTATCTCGCCGCACCACCTACGCACGCCGCCAACAGTTGCTGTATTACGACTGGGCCGTGCTGTAACCCGAGAGGCTACGACGCTTCTCCAATTATCTATGTCGGCGCGCCCCCATTCCTCAGATTTCTGTCGTTAATAACTCGATAATTATTCGACAAATTTCGCAAAACGGTATGGGACTTTTATGTCTGTCTCAACCGAATCTACCTTCACACTTCGGCTTGGCAGATAATTACCGGACACCCTGTATAATTATGTTTAATTAGAGAAATACATTATCATATAATTATATAAGTCTTTAAAGAACAGACCTTTTTGCATTCAAATTTGCTTCGTCATCGACGAATACGGCAACATATGACGGCTAACATAATCGACCCATTTCGTTTCAGATTATACGGCATTGTTGTCGCATTTGCAACAAATTCAGGGAACTCTAGACATACGACTCGCATTTGTCAAAGATATCGTGAGAGAGTCGTTACGTTTCAAACGACGTCATCTGGCGTCGGTGTTAGAGGATTACCTCAAGACTATCCAGGAAGATACATACGCGAATCACAAACTGAATCACAACGGTGCCACAAAGATAAGTTGTTGAGATACATGCGTAATCAGGGCATTATCTTAATAGCGGTGGATTAATTATTGTATGATACGAAGGATTTTTGTGCAAGTTTTCTCCAGGGCTTGATAGCAGTATCAGTTTTACGATGAATAAGCATACTTTTTGATACTCGCTGGGAAGACCTGCACAATCTGATCGTAAAGTTCTGCGGCGAGAATTTTGACGGCGCAATGCTAAGGAAATACGTTTTACTTCCATATACGTTTTACTTTCCATTCTTTGGAGGAAATCAGTTGGTAGAAGTTTCGATTTACATTTCTCTCTCTCTCTTTCTCTCTCTCTCTTTCTCTCTCTCTCTCTCTCTTTCTCTCTCTCTCTCTCTCTCTCTCTCCCTCCCTCTCTCTCTCTCTCCCTCCCTCCCTCTCTCTCTCTCCCTCCCTCCCTCCCTCCCTCTCTCTCTCTCTCTCTCTTTCTCTCTCTCTCTCTCCCTCCCTCTCTCTCTCCCTCCCTCTCTCTCTCTCTCTCTCTCTCTCTCTCTCTCTCTCTCTCTCTCTCTCTCTCTCTCTCTCTCTCTCTTTCTCTCTCTCTAAAACGACAATTTATTTCGCAAAATTGTAAAATGGGATTTATTAGTCGGAATTGATGGAAATAATTTTTTAATAGAATTTACGTTTTTCTCATATTTCTCTGTGTAAAATCTTAAAATTTTCTTATATTTCTCAACAATCAGTTTCTCCCATTTTTTCTATGTTTATCTGGCATTATATTTATATTCAAGAGAGAAATATATGCGTGCATGCGTGACATGCACATACAGCACAATGTCCTTGGGCTGAACGCGCACGTTGATTGTGAATATGTTTGTATATTTATTCTTACTGTCTTATATATGGCAAACATTCTTAATGATAATAATAATGTTCCCCATAATTTCGGAATTCTGTCGACACTATCAGTGCGTATTATACACAGTCTACAAACCGTAGACAGTATCTACTATAAACGTGCGTATATTATAGATAGTTTCTCATTGTAGGACATGTAAGACAGTGAGACAAGTTGCACAAATATCGTTCTATTAAAGAGAAAAAGGGAAAAAAGTTTATGAATTTTCGAAAGATAATCTTATCAGATTAAATCAACAGAAAGAATGTGATGTAACTTCTACCAGCTGCCCAGTCTTCAGCATTCGATGTTATCGGATTAAAGTAGAGGACAATTATATTAATATTTTTACGACTTATATTTCTATTTCTCTTATTATATTGCAATTGAGCGATACGAATCACTTTGTGATTTACGCTAAGTAATAAAATGCCACTTTGTTTCCCAAAATATGTATCGTCAAATTGTCACTGTAAATTTTATTTACGTGTACTTTTCGTTGACGATGCTACTACTACTACTACTACTACTACTACTACTATTACTACTACTACTACTACTACTGCTACTGCTACTACTACTGCTGCTGCTGCTGCTGCTGCTGCTGCTGCTGCTGCTGCTGCTGCTGCTGCTGCTGCTGCTGCTGCTGCTGCTGCTACTGCTACTGCTACTACTACTGCTACTGCTACTGCTACTACTACTACTATTATTATTATTATTATTATTATTATTATTATTAATTATTATTATCATCATCATCATTATTATTATCATCATCATCTTCATCATCATCATCACTATTGTCATTATTTTGTATGAACATGTATCGTGAGTGACGTTCGACAAGTATCGTCACTCGTTCGCGGTCTCCTCGTGAATAGCGGAAATAAATCGATAGACCAAATCGTGTGCGCGTTAATTCGCTTGATCGACGACTTCGTTGTAACGAACTCTTTTCGGCGCGAGACGGTAGTATTCACGAGGAATCGCGTGCTGTAGATGTAATACAACACACGGACGTTACTAACGCTTAAATCCTGAAGAATAACAAAGAAAAGACAAAAAGAACTCGAAACGTGCCGAATGCGCAAATCTCGAGTTACTGATCTCGAGGAATTATCTTGTAGAATTTTTTATGAAGGGTTGACAGTGCCTGTTGTTATTTAAAATCGATGTGATGATATATTGATGATAATGAATATATTAACATTCAACCCACTGTGTCTCTGAGGTCTTTAATAACGTCATTTAATTTGCACATATATGCGAAATATATACGGGAAAAGCGTTTGAAAAAAGATATGTCACATAACATCATCCTCGATGCGAATCGGGGATGCATTATGCATCGCGAGAATGCATGCGAATTCTGCAAATCTTTTTATTATGCGATGCTTATGAACTTCTCTGTTATATTATACAAAATGAAAAAAATGTTCGTACATGTAGAAAGAAGAGAAAGGGAGCAACGATGATGTTACAACACTTTGTACGAGAAGCAGTCGAATCGATGATCAATGTAACAATATATTGTAATGCATTATTGCTGTTTAAATCGAAGATAAAAGTGGCGTAATGCGAAATCGCGGACGAATGTATAATATAACAGAATCAAAATTGCGCTATGTATCTTATAATAACATTTCGTAGTGTTAAAAAGCGTTTCGTAGTATTTACTCTGTGTTTTATCCTCGTATCCTTGGTACGCGCGCGCACGATTCGTGACAATTTGATGACGAAAGACATTTCTCTTCGATACATGTGGGCTGAAGGGAAATACGATATAATACAATACATGTTGATAGCGATAGTTATTTATACGATTACTACTATTACTACTATTACTATTACTACTACTACTACTATTACCACTACCGCCACCTCACCACCACCACCACCACCACCATCACTACTACTACTACTACTACTACTACTACTACTACTACTACTACTACTACTACTACTACTACTACTACTACTACTACTACTATTACTACTACTACTATTAGAGAGATACAAATATCAAAATTGTTTATTGTGGTTTCTCAGACTTAGGAATGGTTTGACCAAATATTACATAAAGTTAACGACAAAAAGAAAGAAAAAAACGAGAATGATTATCTTACTTCTGGTTTTCGCCTGTGATTTTAACGTTGTGTATATGCAGCGGCAGATCGCATTCAATACGCGTTCCTGATAAGCAACCGCTTCTCGCTTCGATAGAAAAAAAAAGGAAATGAAGCAAAGAGAAGTGCGATAACTGCTCACGTACAACATCGGATGTAATTTGTGTTATGCTACATTTTACAAGTTATTGCAATGGTATCTTTTATCATTTTAAGTAAATGGCTGTAAGGTTTTTTCATATAAATCAAAAATATAGCGAAAAGGACAATGAGTGCACGTGTGTGTGCGTGCGTGCGCGTGTACATATGTATATACAACGTATGTACGTAAAATATATAAATTGTGTTAATATCGAAACATTAAATCTGGTTATATATTGTCGTTATCCTAAAAAATTACAGATTACAGATGATTAAGATCATTAAGATCGGTTAACAGAAGGGAAGTGTGAAAGCCAGTAAAATATTTTGAATAATAGATTATAATGGCAATCATTTTAAGGATCCTGAAAGTCCATTAACTTTGAGAGGATATTCATTAATTGTCTTCATGTACTTATCTGCACGTCCGTTAGCAATTATTCTTTATCTTTTAGCAATTATTATTTATCTTAAAGTATGACTACTTGTTTTTACTACATATTATGTGTTATATTCTCTGTGTTGTCTTTGTTCGACAATCATCTGTAATTTGTAATTTCGATTAATAATGACAACAATGTATGGTTAAAATGTTTCGACATTAAAATAACTTGTATCCGCGTGTATGTATAGTATATCACAAGCACATCACAAGTTAAACCTGCAATTGGCTCTTCTCATCCTTTCTTCTTGTATCTTTAATTTAATTTTTCATTTTAATTTACCTTAACGAGAGAGGGATGTGCTTAAGACGTAAAAACTTGACAAAATGACAAATTTGAAGACATATCATTGGATATTGTTGTATCATTGCTACTAGAACGGTGTAATTTTGTATAAAGTCTGCGAAAAATGATGCGGTCTTGCGACGGGGACGACGAGAAGCGTTCTTTTCTTCTCAAACTTCGTTGGTTTCTGTTAACGTGCCGAGTGAGATAATCAAACCTGTGCTCTTTTTACGGACTCGATAACAACGGCCCGAGACTTTTTTTCTAGGAAAAAAGAAACGTAGAGGATATTATATTTATTAGCTGATAAAAAAGCTGTTGAATATATCTCGTGGATTATTTTATATCGAAGTAAAGACGGAGCTTAGCCGAGTCTCGCAAGGACAATGACGCTAGACGCTTATTCGCTCCGGAGATAGAGAAAGAGAGGGAGGAAGGGGGAAGAGAGAGAGAGAGAGAGAGAGAGAGAGAGAGAGAGAGAGAGAGAAGTTAATAAGGATTTAACGAAACGAACACGACACCAAGTGCGATTGTGTAAAGGAGATTTGTAATTAATTAGAGAGGGCATGCGTATAGTAGGAGGAGGAGCAAGTATCCAAGTATTTCGATTATGACAAAATCTCTTTTGTTTTGTAATATCTTTAACTTTATTAGTTATCCTCATCGAATTGAACAATAATAAGGCTCTGTCGAGAAAAAAAGAACTTTTTCTCTTTCTCTCTCTCTCTCTCTCTCTCTCTCACACACACACACCACACACACACACACACACACACAGAGAGAGAGAGAGAGAGAGAGAGAGAGAGAGAGAGAGAGAGAGAGATGGGATATAATTTTTCTTTCATGTGAATCTTTTCGACTAGGTTCTGTGACAAAAATATAATGATAAAACGCCGCTATACCGTGCTTTAGTAAAGCAAGATTGTATTTCTACGCGCGTGTGTGCACACACATACACAGTTTTTATACTCGCTCTGTAAGTTGTGTGATAATGTTTACGATACAGTTCGATGTGGTTTTACGAAAAAGATTACGACATGATCACGTTAATCTGAACAAGTTGCGAGTTTGTCGAAAACGAATTTTGCGGACTTTATCGAGCGACAAAGTTCCAAAAGAATTGTTGATTTGTCACAGAAATCACACCTACATCATATGGAATTGTTCATTGAGGTTTAAATTTTGTTTCAAAAAGAAATGGATTGGCTCTCTGCTATGCTTTACAGTAGAGAGAAAAGAAAAGAAAAAAGAGAATGTCTTATTGCATTCAGCAGAAAGGAAAAGACAAAAAATGTGATACTATTTCTTTCCGAACTGTACATTGGCATCCTGAGTTTTGTAATCATAAATATGAGGGACAGATATGAGAACTGTATTTTTTTTCAACATGTCTACTTTAATATGTCATTTATTAGGATGTCGATAAATATTAATTGCTATTTTTTCACAATATCTAGTGTAACGATACATTGACACATACATCATTGTGTATATTATGCGGAATTGTGTACATATACGTTTACACACGCACACACACACACACACACACACATATATATATAACGCGCGCGCGCGTGTATGTGTGCGTGCGTGTATGTGTGTATAAGGCGTGTATATTAGTAATAATAATCATTATTATAGAGACGAAATTCATATTGAAACGATTATCTCGTTTTTACGTTTATATTTTAGGTAAAACGACAAATAATGTCTCGACGAAGTGAATAAACAAATTGAGAGCATATCTTCGTTTTGCTTTGCATTATTCATCATTATTCTTCCCCTTTCACGTGAATTTTCACGTTAATTTCTTGTTTAAGTTTTAAGTAATTACGTGAATACGAGTGGGATCGGTTTTAACCCAACCAGGATCGATTAAACCCAGATCCTTGGGTCGAACATACACAAGTAAGCCTTGCGATTGGCTAGTAGAGCCTTGTGACATCATTATTAATCGACTCCGGGCAGATTCAAACTTATGCCATTCGAATATACTATAAGTTAGTTTAAGGTCTACCAATGTTATAACTAAAACCAAAGTTTTCGGAACCGCTTTTGGAACAGGGCCTCAATTCTGTACACGCTTACCGACAACTATCGATGTCGTTAACTGTATTGCGCAGCTTTTGTATATCGTAGAAAACCTGCGCAACTCCGTTAACGATATCGATAATTGTCGGTAAGCATGTACAGAATTGAGGCCCAGGCCTACTATTGGGTAGGCAAATGTAGTTCCAAAGTATCCGCTAGTAGCCGTCACTGTCCTCACAGAGAGGAATGGAGGTAAGTACATTGAGTTGCAACGAATCGTTCCATAAGAGGGGAAATGGAATACCCACACTCTGGTATATGGTTTGTTCTATTTAGCTTCACTAGTAAGAAAAATATATTTGTCTCATTCTAACTTATTACACTAGTTTAGCAATGCAGCTAAAAAGAACAGACCATATATCAGAGTGGAAGAATTCTATTTCCCCTCTCGCGGAACGATTCGTTGCAACTCAGGGTACGGTCGCGGACATAAGGGTTGTTACTTTTTTTTCAATGACTTTCGGGACGCATCCCGACTCGAGAAAAATGAGAGCTGCTGCTCCGCCTGCGGAGCACGCCTGCGTAGTAACTCACAACAAAAGGCGAGAAATGAAATATACGTGGTATGACATAAGTATGTCAACAATCATTGGGTGCATTCAGTATTACAACCGCTCACTGAACGCTAAGTGAGCTCTTGCATCTGATTGGTGTATATTTTTAAATCTAAAAGAATATACCAATCAAATGTAAAAGCTCATTGAGCGCTCAGTGAGCTCTTGCATCTGATTGGTGTATATTTTTATATCTAAAGCAATATACCAATCAAACGTAAAAGCTCATTGAGCGCTCAGTGAGCGGTTGTAGTACTGAATGCATCCAATGCACCCATTGCGTTCAGCGGAGAAAACTGCTCAGTGAGCGATTAGTGACTATATATTGGTTATTACTGTTAGATCTTTACATTAAGACCAATAACGTTGACGAATTATTCAAGCAGTTGAGTGTTGTGAACGCACCCAATTCTTATATTTTTTTGCCAGCACTGAAAATCTATAATATACGTGACACAAACTATGTATTTTAAGTACTGGCAGTGAATTTTGGAACACAGCCTACTTAGGCTGCGTTCCGATATTCACTGCTAGCACCGAAAATATATAGCATACGTGACACAAACTATGTATTTTCAGTACTCGCAGTGAATATCGGAATGCAGCCAATATGTATATAAAGTCAGCGTCACACGGTGTTTGTTTTCATGCTGGATTTCGTGCTTGCTGGATGAAAATACGGTGTTCTGATTGGTACATTTCCGAAGATGGATGCCGCTGGCTTAATAGGTAGATACCGTATGCACGGAGTATGTTCATGTGGCTACAGAATATAGGCAAGAGCACAAGCTTTTGAATAACGCATAATACATAACGCATAAGAGAATAAACCAATTAGTTTTCTTCATTTCCCTCCTCAGGACAGAAATGAAGAACTCTGATTGGTTGATTCTCTTATGCGTTGTGTATTATGCGTTATGCAGAAGTCTGTGCTCTGGCCCATAAGCGAGGAAGAGGCTCCTCCCCTCCCCAACACTTCCCCAAAGAAATTCTAACCTAACCAAAACCAAACTTATTGCATCTTTATTTATATATTGTTGGACATTGTTGAAAAGATTATAATTTTTAAAACTCACGCTTAATAGTATGTAATAAAGAGGCAATAAGTTTGGCTAGGTTAGGATTTCCTTGGGGAGGGGCTGTGAGGGAGGGGCTTCGCTCCTCCCCCGTTTACATGACTATCTTAAGCCAGCGGCACACGGTGCTTGGCTGTAGAGATGTTTATCGATATTCGAAATTATCGAATATTCGATATTATTTTTAATTATCGATATACAAATATCGAATAGAAAAATATGGATAAAAAATCGAATAAATATATTTTTCAGCGAATATTTATTGAGTATTTTCTAAAAGTGATTTTTTTAATATAAAGCTAAAGTCAGTAGCACACAGTGCTTGTTTTCATGCTAGTTTTAGTGACATACTAGAAATGTTACATTCTGATTGGCTGCGTTCAGCAGAACAAAGTGATTAGTGAGCACTTAGTGATTCTCGCTCCTGATTGGTAAATATTCCTGGGTCTATGAAGGATCTAAAAGAATGCTCCAGTCATAGACAATAATCACTAAGCGCTCACTGATCATTTTGTTCTGCTGAACGCAGCCAATATTACATATAACGTGCATGTTAGTAGTAATTTCCTACTCAACAATAACAGTTATATTGTTGAGTAGAAAATTACAACTAATATGTACGTTACATATAATATTAGGCCTGTTCGATTTGTCTGCACTGTTGAACTGGTGCAACAAGTTGAAGTGAGAAAACCTACATTTGTCTCACTTTAACTTAATGCACCAGTTCAGCAGTGCAGACAAAACGAACAGGCTTATTGTGTTTGCTGGGTTCTTATTGGCTACCGAATCATTCGATATTTATTCGATATTTTGACTGCTTATTCGATATCGATATGAGTACTTTTAAATTTAGCGAATATATTCAAATGCGATATTTTTTTTCTATATCGACATCTCTACTTGGCTGCTATTCCGTAACCACTTATCGACAGTTGTCTGTGTCGTTAGCAATATTGCGCAGCTTTTTGTTATATGAAAAACCTGCGCAATGCCGCTAAAGCCCCTATCAGACTACGGATTGGGATTGAGTATTGGATTGAAATTTAACCAATCAGGAGTAAGTTTACTGTACTTGAGATTATTTTCTCTTTTTCAATTGGTCAAATTTCAATCTAATCTCAATCCCAATCCCGTAGTCTGATACGGGCTTAATGGGTGCATTCAGTATTACAACCGCTCACTGAGCGCTAAGTGAGCTCTTACATCTGATTGATATATACCTTTAGATTTAAAAATATACACAAATCAGATGCAAGAGCTCATTTAGCGCTCAGTGAGCGGTTGTAGTACTGAATGCTCCCAATGACACCGACAACTGTCGGTATGCAGGTACGGAATACAGCCTCTTGTTTTTGTGCTGGATTGCTTGCTGGATGAAAATACTGCGTTCTGATTGGTGCATTTCCGAAGATGGATGAAAATGCACCAATCAGAACGCAGTATTTTCATCCAGCAAGCAAACCAGCACGAAAACAAGCACCGTGTGCCGCTGGCTTTACACTTTCCGACTGAAAAGAACAAACCATAACTCTCTGTATTACCGGCATGACAGATCTCCTAACCTCACGTGCGTCATTTTTTATCATTTCATAATTTTCGATCTGTTTGAGAGCGACACTTTTTTCTTTCAAAATCGTGTTCTACGCACCAAAATACACAATTGTGCAAAGTTTCAGCGAAATTCGTGAGGAGGCCTGTATTCTTCACAATTACCCTATAAGCTTGTAAAATCATATTGTGACATATTATTTTTGCGAAATATCTCGTAACAAAAGATTTGATTTTCAGCCTCAAATCGGTCATGTCAAGAGGATTACATTATGGAAACTGCTTCAGGAATTTTGTCAGACAGCAAAATTACATGAATACTTACTACTATTATCATCGAATATATTGTGGAATGCACAAGATTTCTGTGCCTCTACATGCTGCCATGATTGATGATACAAATGCAACAGAAAATAGAGCTTCTGTTGAGCAAAGACGAACAAGGAGTTTAATCAGAGATAGTCTTTCATTGAAGGATTTCATAACCCCCGAGCCACCCAGAATTGATATATCCCCTGAAGAATCTATCCCATATGTGCAAGATATTCGTGGAGAAGGTCAAAAAGGTATTTTAGATACATTCGCTGTACAATTCATTATATTTCCATGCTTTACAATTGTTATTGTCCTATTCTAGTGTACTTTGAAATTTATGGTTGCCAAATGAATGTGAATGATACTGAGATAATATGGTCGATACTGAAAGCACGTGGTTACCAGCAGACAAAGGATATGGAAGGTGCTGATATTGTGTTGCTCATTACTTGCTCCATTAGAGACAATGCTGAGCAAAAGGTATGGAATAAACTTGAATATTTAAATGTCATAAGGAACAAGAGAAGGAAAAAGTCTGGAGTATCCATGAAGATTGGTCTTTTAGGTGAGCTTTATTTAAGAGATGCGATTTTTAATTAAATTAAATTAATGATTCCTACGAGCTAAAATGTTTTCTCTTTTTTCCCTTTGTTTGCATCAGGATGTATGGCTGAACGTTTGAAGACTAAAATACTGGACAAGGGAAAACTTGTAGATGTCATAGCAGGCCCTGACAGTTATAAGGATTTACCAAGGCTTCTAGCGGTAACAGACAGCGAAACAGCTGTTAACGTTGTATTGTCCTTTGATGAGACATATGCGGACGTCATGCCGGTTAGACTCAATCAAGACAGGATTGGAGCATATGTGTAATATATAAATACCTCATATATTATTGTATTGTATATTGATACATGTACATGATAATATATTTACTTACTATATTAATATAACTTTATATATATATATATATATATGGATAATGTATATTTACTTATTTATATTTTACACACACACACACACACACATACTTTTTTTTAACAGACGTTTATAAATAGTTTCAATGAAATGAACTTTTTGATATGACCATGCACTTGTGACTTGCAGCTCCATAATGAGAGGTTGCGACAACATGTGCACCTACTGTATTGTACCGTTTACGAGAGGAAGAGAGAGATCCCGGCCGATCATGAGCATACTCGACGAGGTGCGACATTTATCGGACCAGGGTATAAAGGAAGTTACTCTGCTCGGGCAGAATGTGAATAGCTACAGGGACTTGTCGCAATTGCAATTTGTGGTGCCTGTTGGCACTGGGACTCACCTCGCCAAAGGCTTCAAGACAGTCTACAAGGGTAAGAAGGGTGGCCTGAGATTCTGTGATCTTTTGGATAAGGTGTCGTTGATCGATCCAGAGATGAGAGTCAGGTGAATACACGCTGACGTTAATCGTCGCAATGCACGTAATGACACGTTAACGTTATTACATTTGCAGATTCACGTCGCCGCATCCGAAGGATTTCCCTGACGAGGTGTTGCACCTCATCGCCGAGAGGCCAAATATCTGCAAGCAGATTCACTTACCTGCCCAGAGCGGTAATTCCGCGGTCTTGGTCAGGATGCGACGAGGATATACCAGGGAAGCGTATTTAGATTTGGTTCACAACATACGCGACATTCTTCCCGATGTGTATCTCTCCGCTGATTTCATCGCTGGCTTCTGCGGCGAGACAGAGGAAGAGTTTCAGGACACGTTATCGCTGTTGGAGCAAGTCAAGTACAATTATGCTTATATGTTCGCCTACAGCATGCGCGAGGTACATTTTCTTTTATACGTTGACAAAAAATTTCATGTAAATAATTTATAATTCTCTCCCTCTCCCTCTCTCTCTCTCTCTCTCCCTAAATGGTCTTAATTATCGAAAAATTGAATGTAAAAACTGACGTTGACGTTTCATATATAATTTAGCACGAGATGAATTTTTCTAGAAAACTACGGCGCATCGACGGTACAAGGACGACGTTGAGCAACGCGTGAAGATAGAACGTGTTGCTCGCATGATTACGTTGTACAGAAGGGAGGCGGAGAAATTAAACAAGGCACAGATAGGGCAGCGTCAGCTCGTTCTCGTGGAGGGTGTAAGCATTTTCATAATTTGCTACACGCTTATGTTACTATTGCTATTATTATTTTATACAAACAGCATAGATAGCTTCCAATTTCACGTTACTTTACGTTATTTTACGTTACTTGCTAATTGCTTCACAATGACGATGAGGTGAAAGCACTTGATTTTACATAATTATGCTTGTCTCCACCGGCAGGTAAGCAGGAGGACCGACCGGAATCTGCAGGGCAGGAACGACGGTAACGTGAGAATTTTACTGCCACCCGCCGTGATACCGGTCAATCGGCATTCCGACTCGACAAGGGAGATGCGAGCCGGCGACTACGTTGTCGTGCAAATTGACAATGCCAATTCTCAAAGCTTGCGAGCAGTGCCTCTGTATCATTCTTCGATCAGCGAATATTCGTCAGAGAAACAAGAACTATTGTATTATTAATTCGTTACGTAATAAAAATATTGGGTGCATGTACAAGTCACTCGAACGTTTATTTTCGATACGTAATAATTAAATATCAGTCAAATATTGTCTTAGTTTCTTTTTCTTTTCTCTACCTTATGGCCCTTGACTTGGCCGAATAATTGCGTTCAGCGGAACGAAGCAATTAATGTAATTAATTGTAATTAATGTAATTAATTGTAATTAATGTAATTAATTGTAATTAATGTAATTAATGGGAAGAAGAATAAACTCGGTCAAACGAAACATCTAAATAGCTCTACCCGAACGCGAACGCGAACGCGCAATCCTCACTGAGTTCTCACCTCAGATGTCGTGCAACACAGATGTCTGTGTTATCGATCGTGCAACGGCTACATTATCTCCATCTCACGATACGAACTGTCGAACCACTTTAGTGAGTTTGCCGAGTGGTGAGCCGAGAAGTGAGCAGTGAGCGTCAGTGGAACATTTATGGGTTATGAGTTTTAAGCCGTAGTTTGTTTATACGAATGATAGAATCGTGATCGTACCGATCGTGTGTGCGGTCGCAAATTTCGTTTGGCGGAATTCCTACTCTACGAGTTCTCTATACAAATGGCATGTAGAACGAGCGTCAGTAATCTTTAAGCATCGTAAACTTTGATGTAACCTCTCTTTTTCTCCGAAACAACGACCCTCGGCTGAGACGCGCGGCGTGCTACCGCTCCGGCAACGATCGAAGCTGATCGAATTCCGTTCGCAAGTGCCCGTGCGCGCGTTCGTCCGGAGGTGCGTTTGCATCAATATTGCAAAGCGCAAATCGACGCGTCATCACGCCTACCCGTTGTTCCACCCGTGTGCATTTCCACGTTGCATTTCGAGACCGAAACTTCGCTCGACCTAACCTATCCTCCTGTCCAAATCGAATCCATTGAATCGTACAACCACCATCCTCCCTCCAGGAACTCTTAGGGGAAGACTCTGTCGATTGAAAAAAAAAAGAAAAAAACGAAAGAAGAGAAAAAAGACGCAGAGAAAAGAACGATCCAAACGCACGTCCGATCGCGAGGACGAATTCGCGATTGAGGACTGAATTCGATCGACACTCGAGCATCGTTCCCGGCAGGAGACTCGAGTCCGTCTCAATCGAGGACGCCAATGTGAATTCGAAGATTATTAATTTCTCCGCTTTGAAACGATGTTTCCTTCGCCGATACAGCGACGATAATGACAATAATTTAACGATAACAAACGTCGCTCGGAGAGCACGCCGACTGCGCGCCGAGCCGACTCCCGCTCGTTGTCATTTCTTTTATCCGCGCGCGCGCGCGAGACGTGACGTGACGGCGTTTGATGTTCAAAGTGGGCATGCACACGAACAAAACAAACGTGAACAAGTGGAGAACAATTTCTTTCTTACTCTACTCCGGCTCTACGCTCCGAGCGAGAGATGCGCGCGAACGATCGTGTCGCGGTGTTTCGCTCGAGAACGAGATCGCGCTATGACCAGCGTTTCACATGTGCTGACTGATTACATTGTTGCGTTCCACGTTATTATTACCAGGCCTCGAACGACGGTATTCCGCCACCCGCCGCCGTGACAGGATTTCCATCGGCCACGCCAAATCTCGCATCTAGCTTTGTGCCACCTATTATGCCCGCGGCACCTTTCATTCCCCCTCCCAGTTTACCGCCGGGTCCTCCGGGCATGATGCCGCCTCAGTTTTCCATACCTCCGCCGGGTTTTACCTTCCCTATCACCGCGGCACCTCCTCCAGAGGCTGGAGTCATAGGTTAATATCCATCGCTAAGTGTATCTGTGAACCGATCCGTGAGAGCTCTCTCGCTCGAGTATTGACACGTTCTCTCTCTCTCTCTCTCTCTCTCTCTTTGCTCACGTTACAGCCGCGTCGCCGCAGATAACGACGCCGGGAATACCTCCACCCTCGCCCAGCGGCAGCGGCAGCGGCGGCAGCAACAGCAACAGCAACAACGAGGCCGCCCCCCCAACGATGTCCGTGTCCATGGAGAAGAAGCCGACCGACTGGTCGGAGCACAAGGCGCCGGATGGCAGGACTTATTATTACAACAGCGTGACGAAACAGTCGTTATGGGAGAAGCCGGACGAGCTGAAAACCCCGAGCGAGCTGTTGCTGTCGCAATGCCCATGGAAGGAATACAAGCTGGAGAACGGCAAGGTGTATTATCACAATGTCACCAGCAAGGAGTCCAGATGGACAATTCCGCCGGAATTGGAGGAGCTCAAGGCTCGGATCCTGGCGGAAGAAGCCGCCGCGGCCGCTGCGGCGGTCGTGGCAAGTGCAACAAACTCGTGAGTAGAATCTTCTAGAGCTCCTCCCCTCCACGGAGGAATCCAGGAATCCAGTTGAATTCTTGGGAGATCTTTGTACGCGCGGTCTCGCTGACGATTCCTCCGTGCTTCCTGCAGCAATATAGCGGGGATACAACATTTGTCCCCGAATGTTTCGACGATATCGCAGACTAGCACTCCGGAACCCGGTGGAAAGTCCGCGATCGAGCAAGCAATGGCAGCTACGCTCGCTGCCATTAACATCCCGACGCCGCCTGCGAAGCCGGACGAGGACAGTAACTCCGCTAAAGGTTCGGCCAACGACAGCCGTACCAGCACGCCCGAGCCGAAGATGCAATTCAAGGACAAGAAGGAGGCGGTTGAGGCGTTCAAGGAGCTACTGAGGGAGCGAGATGTGCCGTCGAACGCTACATGGGAGCAGGCGGTCAAATTGATTCAGAACGACCCCAGGTATCCGCAGATGAAGAAGCTGAACGAGCGTAAGCAGGCGTTCAACTCGTACAAGACGCAGAAACTGAAGGAAGAGCGCGAGCAAGAGAGGCTTAGGTATTTAAGTTAGTTTTTATTCTGTTTACGCATTACGTATTACATATACGCATACGAATGTACGAATGTGTTCGCTCGCAGTAATGCTTACTGTAGCGAGTTGTGTATTTATCAGCGAGACCAATTTAATTAATTCTCAAGTATACTTACTCAAGTATACTCGACACTTCGTACCTGTCGTAACAAGCATACTATACGTGTATACGTGATTGTTGCTGTTACGTTCGTCGTGTGTAATTTTATTAATTTTTACACAAACGTTTTTAGAGAGCTTATCTGGAGATGCATAAATATAAACGCACTATACCCTCTTCATATCCGCTTCAGAGCTGCTTCGGCGATATGACAGATGGTTCTCTTTTGACAGACTGAAGAAAGCCAAGGAGGACTTGGAACAGTTCTTATTGGAGAACGACAAAATGATGAGCACGACCAAGTATTACAAGTGCGAGGAGATGTTCGGTAACCTGGAGGTTTGGCGAGCGGTCGGCGATTCGGATCGCCGGGACATCTACGAGGATGTGATCTTTAATCTGGCGAAACGCGAGAAAGAGGAGGCGAAGCAGCTGAAAAAGAGGAACACCAAGAAACTGGCGCAGGTCTTGGACACCATGACCGATGTGACTTACCGTACCACGTGGCAAGAGGCACAGGCGTTGTTGTTGCAGCACTCGTCGTTCGCGGAGGACGCGGACCTGCTGGAGATGGACAAGGAAGATGCCCTCCTTGTGTTCGAAAATCACATTCGTCAGTTGGAGAAGGACGAGGAGGAGGAAAAGGAGCGCGAGAAGAAGCGTAGAAAACGGCAAGAAAGGAAAAACCGGGACGCGTTTATAGTGAGTACTTGATAATATTCCAGTATTTCGAGATCTGTATTGTAATACATAATAGGATGGTCTTATCGAGCAGCAGCCTTACTATAACAAAACAAAGAACTTTATTCTGATTTCGTGCAACGAGCGAACTGCATGACTCTGCTAGCGCACGGTCGGGAGGCGATTGACTGAAACAAAAGTGTGCCACATCGATAGTAAGAGAAAGAGAAAGAGAAAGAGAAAAAGAATGCGCTAGGCGGCGCCGGACACTCGAGCCTAGCGCTCTTATGCGCGGACCGAGGGTCCGCGGTCCAGTAAGCGCTATCGAATGCTCTAAGCGCTACATGATGATAACGCTGCAATCGGTTCAATTCGAAGCTACGAAACGCCACAGCGAACCTCACGACGTAATAAAATACGTAAGCGTTTTCGCTCCTGTCGCGCTCCGTCTCACGCTTCGTCTCACGGGGTAAGTTCCAAAAATCTAGTAACAAATAGCACGAAGAGCTATATGTTGCAGTGTACCGAAGTTGAAAACTTCAAAATGCCGCAACTCGAATCGATCGATGAAGAAACTGAATATGTCTCGAATGTAAGATAAATGTGACCGAAGAAGAAGAAGATTACATTCGTGCTACAACAAGTCCATATGTATATTTCATAAGTGCACTCTCATTGCGTGCACTTTGGAATATATGTAGGAATCTCTCTACTCTCTACTCTCTACAACCTGTAGCGCGGGAGTCTGCAACCCGTCAACGACAACGACAACGACACTGTCTCGTTGCGCAAGTATACAGGGTGCACGATTTATCTGAAGACATTGAAATATCTCGAGAACTATGCATTGGATAAAAAAAAGTGGTTGATGAAAGTTGTTAGTCCCGAAGGGGGACATCCAATGATACCAAACTCGACCTCCCACCCCACCCCCTGGGGGTGGGGGTTGGGGGCAACTTTGAAATCTTAAATGGAAACCCCTTTTTTTTATTGCAGATACGGATTCTACGCCACAAAATACGTAAATTTTGTCCGAGACTTTTTTTTTGATTCGTGATAGATGGCGCTGTAATCGCAAAAAATTATATTTTCCGCAATTCTCCAGAAATGATCATTGGATTGAGAAATAAAAAATACCTGTTCAATATTTTTAAAGAACATAATAAAAGTTATTCCCCCCCATCCTCTCGGGGGTGAGTGGTAACGTTCAAATCTCAAATGGGGATCCACATTTTTCATTGCAGAATTAGATTGTACGTGAAATTTTTATTGAAACAATTTTTTTCATTGAAACAATTTTTTATAATAAGCCATAGTTCGCCATACACCCACAGTGGCGCGTCGAGCAGTTCCCTCTTCGATTCGGGTTCCCATTTGAGATTTGAACGTTACCACCCACTCTACCTCGAGAGGAGGGGGGGGAATAACTTTTATGTTCTTTAAAAATATTGAACAGGTATTTTTTATTTCTCAATCCAATGATCATTTCTGGAAAATTGCGGAAAATATAATTTTTTGCGATTACAGCGCCATCTATCACGAATCAAAAAAAAAGTTTCGGACAAAATTTACGTATTTTGTGGCGTAGAATCCGTATCTGCAATAAAAAAAAGGGGTTTCCATTTAAGATTTCAAAGTTGCCCCCAACCCCCACCCCCAGGGGGTGGGGTGGGAGGTCGAGTTTGGTATCATTGGATGTCCCCCTTCGAGACTAACAACTTTCATTAACCACTTTTTTTTATCCAATGCATAGTTCTCGAGATATTTCAATGTCTTCAGATAAATCGTGCACCCTATATATGGCAGAAATTATGCGCGACGACACTCTGGTTGGTCATCGGTCGGTGACCGATTGTCACGTTAAGAAGTTAACAGAATCCCGGCTCTGGCCCTGACCGGTCGCGTAGCGGCTATAGCGCTTGCTGGAAGCGCGCTCCTCTGGAGCGTGGAGGAGCGGTGCTGTTAGAGCGTTTAGAGCTATTTGATCGAGAGCGTTTGCTGGATCGCATCCTAAGACAAATCCTCTGGTTACAACGCGCGTCTTTTTCGAAGACTCTGTATTATCGCGTATCGTATCGTATTGTATTTCAGTACTTGCTCGACGAGCTTCACGAACAGGGCAAGCTCACATCAATGTCGTTGTGGGTGGAGTTATATCCCATGCTGTCTGCTGACCTTCGGTTCTCAGCTATGCTCGGTCAGTCAGGCTCCACCCCGTTGGATCTCTTCAAGTTCTATGTGGAGGACCTAAAGTCGCGCTTCCACGACGAGAAGAAGATTATCCGCGAGATATTGAAGGACAAGAACTTTGAGGTGCAAGTGAACACGACTTTCGAGGAATTCGCTACCGTCGTGTGCGAAGACCGGAAGTCGGCCACGCTGGACGCAGGTAACGTGAAACTCACGTACAACTTGCTGCTCGAGAAGGCTGAGGCGCGCGAGAAGGAGCGCGTCAAGGAGGAGATGAGGAAGTTCAAGAAGCTGGAAACCGGCTTTAAGAACCTGTTGAAGACGCTTAATGTGGATTATCAAATGACGTGGGAGGACGTGAGGCCCAAGATTGAGGAGGAGCAAGACTTCAAGGCGATCACTTTGGAGAGCGAGCGGATACGAATATTTAAGGAGTATCAGCACGAGCTCGAGGAGAGCTGCAGTCATCACCACATCAGAAGCAAGAAGAAGAAGACGAAGAAGATGAAGCGCAAGTCGCGATCACGATCGCACAGCGTAAGTATATCGCCGAATATAATACGATTTCTCTTGCTGATGGAATCGTGGAAGACGCAGCGTTTGTCCGTCAACGTTATTTATGTAACGTTTGTATGCCTCCTTCGAACAGGAGTCGGAAGGTAGCGAGAAAGGTCTGAGGAAGAAGAGGCACAACAAGTCGCGCTCGCCCAGTGTTCCCAGTAAGTCGGACAGTTCTGGATCAGAGACGAGGAAATCCAAGAGAAAGAAGAGCAAGAAGAAGCGCGGCCGTAGTCACTCCGTATGTATTAATGACATGATATGATACTACCTGGCATCGAATTGGCACGCGAAGTCTCACTGGTCGAGTAGAGTCTTAGACTGGACGTCCAAGTTCCAAATGGACTAGCAAATGGTGTCTTTTACCCCGGAGAATCACGACGAGTTTATCCTTATTAAACTTACAAAGACTTACCAAACGTCCGTTTCATCTTCGCAGCGCTCGCACTCGAGGCTTCCATCTTCCGAGGAATCACCGGAGAGGAAGCGGAAGGAGGAGAAGCACAGGCGACCGTCGGTTCACAGCGAGGGGTCTGTCACAGAGACCAACGAGCACCACGAGCTCTCCGAGGACGAATTGGAGAAGCAACGGGCTCAGTTGCTGCGCGAGTTGCAGATGCAGCAGGAGGAAAATTAGAAATTCCTTTCATCGCCAAGTATCGCCAAGAATCTGTCGACAGTGATATCAATGCGTGTCTCGAGCAGTACAGTTTCTCAGGACTCAGCTTGCCGATAATTCGTGGTATGATAGATAGCGTGTGTGCGTGTGCATGTGGAGCCTGTCGGAATCACGTTTGTTCTCAGAACGCTGAACTCGAAGAGCGTGCATTATATATATATATATATATATATATATATAATGTATGCGCGCGCGTGTATATCACATACAACGGCAACGCGACGCCGCGCAGAAATAGATTCACCTTTTATGTAATGCATCCCAGGCATTCCGTCGAACGAGCAAGTGAGCTTTACCAAAAAACACATGACACGACGCGCGTCGTTCTCTTTTTTGTCTTCTTCATTTCACGGCCGTTCTTTGGAAATTGTGGAGTGACTCCACAATTGTGGACTGTTCATTTTCAGAAAACTTATAAACTAGTGTACATATTATTGTAATAGTTGTGAAGTTTTTCGAAAACGAACAAACCTAAGATATAGCGAGCGCAGGACGCACGCAACGCTTCGGATCATTGAGAAGCGTGTCTGAAGCACGGAGGCACGTTGTTTTATAAACAACGACAACAACAACAATGCAAAACACACATACGTTAGATTGGTGCAAAAGGTTTGTCGTATTTGTTGTGTAAGTGAGATAGGAAACAATTACTCAATTTCGAAGGATTAATAATTTTGTCGAATAAAATGAACGACATCGATTCGCTCAGACATCTACGAAGGATCTTCTTTTCCTTTCTCCTTTCACTATTCGCAGATCACCTACGGGAATTTGATAAATATAGAAAAATGACTGCGTAATCTGTTGCGAAGCTGATACATATATTCCATATTTTCAGTATCGTTTCGATATTGTGAATATCGAAATGCAATCTAATGCAAGCCTTAAACAGCCTTTACACAGTCGAGGAAGGAAGTGAGACAGCATTGAATAATTACGTAATGTCCTTTTATTTCTTCTTCTCTTCAGTTCGAATCCATGCGTTCAGTGTCTTATGCGTTCAGTATCTTGTATCTTTTCATCTCTTCATCTTGGATTTTCATTCTGATCTCTCATTTGGACGTCGAGAGAAATCATACTCGTACGATGTAAGACGACTTCTCCGTGATAATTTCAATGAACATTTCAACCTCCTTGATTGATCATATTCCGTTTCATTTGTTCGAACAGTCGAAAGATAATTTTGTGCGTCACGTACGTATGTATCGGGGGGGGATATTGAGTCGGTGGAAGGAAAGGAATCTTGAGATTGCGTAACGTCCTTGTAATAATCAATCGCCCGTGTCGGCCCGTGTCGGCCCGTGTCATGTTAGGATTTGACGTTTCGGCACGACTGTTTCAGCAGTGTATCCGACCGGTGGATATTATTAACGAGTCAGCGCGAAGAATTCTCACGTCTCGAATTACTCTCTAGCTCGTGCTAGCCCCGACGTGCTAGAGAGTTTCCGACGTGAGAAACAATATAATTAGATTGTTCGAGAGGATAATTGAGAGGTAACTATCGATGTAATTATCGATCGATCGACTGTGTAAATCTGACCGAAGAATGCAAACGGTCTTTCTCTCACCGATGATTTTTTCAATCGTCTCACACACGCACACAGGTGCATACGTGCGCGGCGGACAGGATGCGTCCGCGTGACAGGAATATGTATGTACATATTTCAGTATATGTGTGTATACATCTCTGCTGCCTGGCCGACCTTATACATTTCGATTGATTTCGATCATGTCTAAATACGGTCGCGTGCGAATCGCTTTATATCGTTGGATAACGGACACTGCGCCTCTCATCGTTCGAATCGTTCTCAACGATTATGTCGTGAAAAAGCGCTTACAAGCTAGTAAGATTTCTAGTAGAAATAAGTCGTCGACATTAGATCGAACGATAATCGAAATCGATCTTTTCGGGAGACGCGACACGGAACAAATAAATTTGTGACGACCGATGACGAAAAACCTTTCGAATCGAGAGATTCGTGGGTGCATATAGTGAAAAAGTGTGAAAAAGCGTCCATCGTTTGAAATGATTTTACGTGAAAGGAGTAACATCATCCTTTCTCCTGGTAGTACATCAAGTGGACAACGGTACATTATTCGGCGATGACATTTTTATCTTTGGTTCAAAATTGCTTTGGAAAAAAACCCACTAGCATGTATATACGAACGCGTTCTCTTTCGCCCTCTGCGGTATTTTTTGATTATTTTATTGCGCAAAAATAATGGATCAACCACGATTACTAATCTACAGAGTTTAAATCACGGGTTCGCATTTTACTTCCTTTTCCTGATCCGTTACATCGCGTCGATTATGTTGTTATTCAAACAAAACAATTTTTAACAATAACATGCTCAATAACTTTCTCTTGTTCAAAGCTTCAAGAGTGTCGCGTGTTGTTCAACGACGACGACGACGACGACGATGATTAGAATCTCGTTACGAGATTAGATGCGAAATGACGTGTCGTCGTCGTCGACGTGATGACAATGTGATGTTCGAACGAACTCCCGAAGTCGGCGAAAGGCGGGTAGGGAGGGAAAGACGGACGGAGGGAGGGAGGGAGGGAGGAAGAGAGAGAGAGAGAGAGAGAGAGAGAGAGAGAGAGAGAGAGAGAGAGCGCTTCTAAAAATTGCCACGACGAGACCGCGTTGAAAAAGCGAAACCGCGGCGACAGCGCCGCCGATGGCGACGGTTCGCGCATGCTGGATCGCTCAGGTAAACGCGGACTGCACGTACGTCCCTGGGCGTTCCCGTGAAAGGTGGGGAATATGGGAGCGCGCGGCGTGGTTCGTGAGCATTCGGCCAACGCGACGGATACGGCGGTCGGTATTGGCCGTGTTTCGCAGTTTCGGCAATCCGCAACACTGTGCGGTGAGTCGTGAGCGCGTGGAACGAGAGTGTGGGGAAACAAGGTTGAGTCTGTTGGTGGATCACAGTGTGGTGTCTTGTTCTGTCAACCGTCTACGAGACACGTTGTGATCATCCTTGTGTCCACCCATTCTGCGGATCGCGTGGTCACGAAGGGCTGTCGCCGACAACGTCCTTTACCGATCTTTTTCTGTCTGTCTCTCCTCTCTCTCTCTCTCTCTCTCTCTCTCTCTCTCTCTCTCTCTCTCTCCCTCTTTCTCCCTCTCTCTCTCTCTCTCTCTCTCTCTCTCCCTCCCTCCCTCCCTCCCTCCCTCCCTCTCTCTACATATACACACACACACGTATATATCTATCTATCTATCTCTTTCTCTCTCTGTCTTTCTCCGCTGCCCGCCTGTCTATACCGTTTTCCTTCCCTGTCCCTGTCGCGTCCTGCAACACATCCCCGCCGAAAGATGTTGGGCCTGGTTTGCCGTCAGGCAAATTTGCTGGCGAGTACCCAAAAGTGAGTAGTCCAGGGCCCACGACGCTGATGCGACACGGCGTGCCGAAGCAGCGATGCTCGTTCTGTCCGCCTCTTGTCTTCGTTCTCTTCCGGCTGACCGGGTCGACGTTGGTGTCTCCGGCCGCGACGATATCGATTATACGGCACCGTAATCGCGCGGCTGATTCTCTCGCCATTTGGCGGGGTTCTTTCGCCTTTACGATTAATCGATGCGCTGTTAATCGCTCTTGCACGAATTTCTCGTGTTTCCGTGTTGAAAGAAACTCGCAAAAATTGATCTCGCGGATTATGATTTCCCGAACCGTGTTGCTCGATTCCGCTGCTCGACACGCTCTTTGTCGTCGTGCTTATGTTCCTTGAAAAGGATTGCGTCATCATCGTTCTCATCATCTAGGTCGTTACCAGACGTCCACATTTTACCGTCAATGTTCATACACAGCTATCCATACACTATTAAAAAGAGTTCAGATGGTTGATATATTTTACACCAAGTACACTTTGAGTTTCTTTTGTTCAATAGTCTGTCCAACTTTTCACATTTTGAGTCTGGCAACCCTATCATCATCATCATCATCATCATCATCATCATCATCATCATCATCATCATCATCATCATCATCATCATCATCATCATCATCATCATTTCGTCATTGTCATTTCGATAATGACGTGTTACGACGAACGCGACATGTTCAAAGTGCTCTGCGACTTTGTTCGAATTTGTCAATGAAAAGAACGAATGAAATTAAAAAGAGTACATTTTTCGTGTCGGATTTGTTTATGATGATACTTGGCTGCTGATACTTTGCTGAATCGTTGCTACAAGCTCGTCGTGATGCAATTGATTATTTCTCGTGGGGCGTACTTATCCGGTGTGTGTTGCAACAGTACGTAAACCAGGTATGTAAATATGTAACCGGAATTTTTGTCAAGAAAATACACGTTTATGAAAATGATAAAACGTGTATGAAAATGATAAAAAATATTTCATTCCAAGTATTGCCCATCGCTAGCTATACATTTTTCCCGCCTGTCTGACAATTTGTGGATACCACGCTAAAAAAACTGTTGCTCTTTTGAGGCAAACCAGTCATCGAGTCATTTTCGTACATTTTCGTAAGAAGTGAAACGCCGTAAGAAGTGAAACTCAGCAAGTGCGTGTCCTATCGATACAAATAAGTAGTAATCGGACGGAGCCAAGTCTGGTGGGTAAGCCGCACGCGAAAGTATTTCCCAACTAAACGCCTCAATCGTTTCCTCGACCAGTTTTGCTGTGTGTGATGGTGCATTATCATGAAGCAAAATCACTTTGTGTTGCCTTTTTTGATATTTTGGTCGTTTTTCATGCAAAGCTTGATTCAAATCGATCATTTGTTGTCGGTAGCGTTCAGTATGAACGGTTTCGCCAGGTTTTAGCAGCTCATAATAGCAGCACACCCTTCTGATCCCATCAAACACAGAGCAATGGTCTTCCGTCCATAGCGATTTGGCCTTGCGGTCGATGTCGATGGTGTTCGCCTGGAACCATCCACCCATGATCTTTTACGCTTAGGATTCTCAAAATATATCCACTTTTCATCGCCAGTCACAATCCAATGGAGAAATGACTTTCTTTTGTACCTGGCGAGCAGCATTTCGCAAGTGGTTTTTCGGTTTTCCTGCTGTCTTTCATTCAGTTCATGTGGATTTTCCCATTTTCCCATCTTCTGAATCTTTCCCATAGCTTTCAAATGTATGGAGACGGCTTCTTGTGTCACAGTTAATTGATCCGCGAGTTGTTGTTGCGTTTGAGCGTCATCCTCATTCAACAATGCTTGCAATTCGCTGTCTTCAAACTTTTTCGGTGGTCTTCCACCGTTCTTCGTTTCTCACGTCAAAATCGCCACGTTTGAATTTTTTAAACCACTCAAAGCACTGTGATTTACCAAGAGCAGCATGCTCACCGTAAGCTTCGACAAGCATTCGATGCGATTCTGCGGCAGTTTTCTTCAAATGGTAACGGAAAATCAATGCTGTCCGCAAATCGTAGCTTCCAGGCACAAAATTTGACATGTTCAACGCTATTACAAACTATGCAATGTTGTATGAAACTTGTATTGTGTGAGTTGAAAATCTTTGTCAGATGTCAACAAATGAGAATGGCGCCAATGACGCGGTTTGACGGTAACTACATTGACAGCTAGGGCCATCTATGGGCAAATTCCGGCTTCATATTTACAGACCTGGTACTTTTGTTGCATCGGTCGAAATGAACGAAAAAAGACTGACATGTGTGAAAGCGCGGCCGAGTTCCCGCTTCCTTGCTACTCGCTGCAAATAAAAAAAAAGGAAGTTCTCATCGATTGGTCAGAGCTGAGCGACCACACGCGTTTTGCAAACGCGAGTTCCCCCCCCTCTCTCTCTCTCTCTCTCTCTCTCTTTCTCTCTCTCTCTCTCTGCGTCTCTGTCTCTCTGTCTCTCTGTCTCTCTCTCTCTCTCTCTCTCTCTCTCTCTCTCTCTCTCTCTCTCTCTCTCTCTCTCTCTCTCTCTCTCTCTCTCTTTCTCTCTCTCTCTGCTTCAGAACCGGAGGAGGAAAAAGTCGAGTCTTCGCGTAACGATGAACTTGTCGCGCGCGATTCTTACAGCGATTCTCAGCAGCGCCGTCATCGTCATCGTCACGGCCGTTCAGCGCGAGCGAGAGTAACCTTGAGTCGTGATATTTTTACGGCTGTACGTTACGCGTACGGTAATGTCCGTCGTCATCGGACCATATTGTCTCACTACTCACGACGGTGCCATCCTCACCGGAGAGAGAGAGAGAGAGAGAGAGAGAGAGAGAGAGAGAGAGACAGAGACAGAGACAGAGACAGAGACAGAGACAGAGAGAGAGAGAGAGAGAGAGAGAGAGAGAGAGAGAGAGAAAGAGAGAGAGAGTTGTAATCTCTCGTTGTAAAGAAAAAAGGAAAGATCGAGTCGATCGACGATTGGTTTTGTCGGACGGCGGTCGTCTCCTTGTTGAACGTTACCTCGTTGAACTGACACAGTGCCAGTATTCACACATAGCCAGCCCGATTTTATACATATTCTGTTATATTTACAAACAATATATATCATGCGCAAAATTCGGTTCTCATGCGACATACGATTATTATATGTAAATGCGAGATGGTTGATATCGCACGATATTATAGGACAATTTTATAAATGACACAATGTAACATGTAATTATGGTGATAATGGCAAATATTCAATTGTGGGACACTTGATTGTTGTATTTCAGTCAACGAAACGGCATTTTAGCATCTTTCGAGAGATTTGAGTTTCGAGAGATCTCGAGACGATCTTAAACGTAAGATTGAATCAAGTGTAAACTTGCGTAAGATCGCATACAACGAACACCGATCTATCTAAATCGCGGCTATTTCTTCTCGCGAACGTACAACTAATGATATAATTATACACGTAGATCTCTCCGAAGAGAGATCAATGAGATCGGGAGGAATCTATCCGACCAGAGGATCAGATAGATATCTCTCGATCTGATTAATTGGGAAATTATATGTATGTATAAGATTACGATCACGATCCTCGGTGATATACAATTGACATCTGATACAGCATACATGTCACAATTATTTACTTGATTCATTGAGCGCTGGTAATCGCGCTAATGTGGGTCAGACCGAGAGCAGATGTTACGTAATACTGTTATACTCATTGCTGCGCGCAGTGCCGTCTTTCCCGTCCGTCCGTTCTTTCGTTCAAGTGCGCCGCGAAGCGTAGATTAATCACGGTAATATTTCATATCATATTTATCTAAAACCTGAGTGATAATTCTCACGGTTATTACGCACGATGGGGGATGCAATGTCTCAACGGTAGCAATCTGAGCGAAGTGCCTTAGAACCCATGTAGAATCTCATTTCAACGGAGTCGCACAGTTCGCGCGACGAGCGTGCAACTAAATATACAAATAACAACAACAACAACAATAACAACAACAACATTTTGTTAAAGGTGACGTCAGAGTTATAAAGCATTATCAAGCAGTTCGCTTTCGCCAATGTCTCCTGTCTGACGTGGCTGATAAAAATGTTGACTCGATACACACTCATTGTAAGTGACTGTCGATAAATATTTTTAGAAGATTATACGGAAGAAAGCACGCTCTCTTGAGGGCCAGTGGAGGATAAATCTTGATCCTGATTATCGGCATCGTACTTTCGAAGCGCCAATAAGAACCAACTGTTGTGTATATTATAAAAAGGCGAACGTAGCTGAAAGGTAGCTGTAGCTGTCATCGGTTGGATCGATCCAACGTTGATTAATATCTTTCTATAGCGTTGGCGTTATTCGCGACACAAATAAGGAGGAATGAACAGAGAGTCGAACTTGTTGAACTTGTTATCAACGACTGAAAGAGGCTGAGGCCAGGTGTTTCAGTGCGGACGCGACCGATTGTTTCATAGAGATATATATACAATATTAATGATAAGCATTAAGCGAGTCACGCTGTATCTCGCGTGACTCGCGCAGTTGCGTCGGCGTCGCGTCGTTGCGATCTTCATCGCTCGCTTATAAATTCTTTGTTGTTTTCTTCGTCTTCGCAGAGTCGGTACCAGATGCCTGGGGTCGATCGTGCCGGTGCCGAATCCGCCGGACTTTCCGTTGGAGAATGAACCCGTTTTCAGCTACAAGAAGGGCAGCCCGGAACGGGCGGAATTGGAGAAGGTATTGGACACAATGGCCAACGAGTGCGAGGAGGTACCGCTGGTGATTGGGAACGAAGAGATCAAGACCGACCTGTGCAAGTTTCAAGTCATGGTGAGTCGAAGCACCGGAAGATTGAATCGTGCGCGCAACATCGGTTGCGGCTCGGCATCGGTTGCGGCCATGCACCCTCGGCTTCACATTCCGCAGCATTCACATGGCTGCGGATCGTGGATGAGAATCGTCAAGACGATTTTCGCTACGTAGCATTTCGAAGCTCACCGAGAGACGAAAAGTGTTCGCGGAACATACGCGGAATGAGTGAGTGAGATTCCACTCTGTGAAAATCACAGCCCTACGAAGACGCTTAGAAGTCCGTTTCGGCCGTCTGTCCTTTTAGACATTTCTCAAATATCCTGAACCCATAGGTTCAGGTTCAGGTTCGTGATCGCGATCGCGATTGTCGAGCCTTATGTTCGCGCGCGTTATGCTACTCGCGGTATACAATAAGCGAAATAAAGCTCGGTTGATCGTTTTTTGCGACTTTTTAGCCGCACAATCACAAGTGCAAAATCTCCAAGTACTATTGGGCGACGCCAGAGCTGGTGAAGAAGGCGATCGACGTCGCTGTGAAGGCGCAACGGGAGTGGGAGCGATGGCCAGTTGAGAAGCGCTTGGAGATGTGGCTGAGGATAGCGGACCTCATGGCGACCAAATACCGGCAACACCTGAATGCCTCGACCATGCTCGGCCAGAGCAAGACCGTGATCCAGGCGGAGATCGACAGCGCGGCTGAACTGATCGACTTTTTCAAGATGCACGCGTACTTTGTGAAGGAGAGCCTCAAGTACCAGCCGATCTCGCCGAATCAGCAGATCACCCTCAACTCGATGAGGTATCGCGGCATGGACGGCTTCGTCGCGGCAGTGTCGCCATTCAATTTCACCGCCATCGGCGGCAATCTCAGCTACACGCCGGCTTTGATGGTTCGTGGTTTCTCTCTTCACCTTTCCTCGAGGCTGTGACGGCACGCACCTTCCCACCAGGAGGAGCGGAAAGAAAAATTCCTTCATCCGAAGCGACTCAAAATTATTACAGGGCAACGCCGTGCTGTGGAAGCCTTCCGACACCGCGTTGCTCTCCAACTGGTGGATCTTCAAGATTTGCCGGGAGGCTGGTGTGCCGCCCGGCGTGGTGAACTTCGTGCCCTGCGAGGGACCTGTGTTCGGCGACACCATCACGTCCTCGTCTTACTTAGCCGGCATCAACTTCACCGGCTCGGTGCCGACGTTCAATCGTCTCTGGGCGCAGGTCGGCCAGAGTCTGGGCAAGTACAGGAATTATCCGAAATTGATCGGCGAATGCGGCGGCAAGAATTATCATTTCGTTCACTCGAGCGCCGACGTGGAGTCGGTGGTCTATGCGACGATCAGGAGCGCATTCGAGTACAACGGACAAAAGTGCTCCGCTTGCAGCCGGTTGTACGCGCCAGAGTCTCTGTGGGGCAAGGTAACGTAGCGGGGAGGAAGGACACGGATACTTCGTAGAGTAGAGTATCGACGACTGTCTTATCGACGGACGTCCCGTCGTTTCAGCTCAAGGATGGCCTGTTAGGGCTCCGCCAGAAGCTCACAGTCGGTGACATCCGTGACTTCACTGTGTTCACCGGCGCTGTGATCGACGCTACCGCGTTCAAACGAATCTCCGGTTACATCGATTACGCGAAGAAGTCGCCGAAGATGGAGGTGATCGGAGGCGGCGGCTATGACAATTCGTACGTTCCGTCGCGATTATTATTAGCCGTAATCGGATGACGGCGCGCTTCATTCCGTCGTCGGGTCCGTCTTCTTCCAGGCGCGGATACTTCGTCGAGCCAACGATCGTACAGAGCAAAGATCCAAAGGAAAAGCTCATGACGGAGGAGATCTTCGGTCCGGTGCTGACGGTGTATGTCTACAAGGACTCTGACCTGGACGAGACGATGAAGCTGGTGGAGACATCCACGCCGTACGCTTTGACCGGTGCGATATTCGCTCAAGACGAGTAAGTGAAACTCGTCATCGAATGATGACGACAGACATACAGCTCTCGAGTTCTCGAGTTGCCTCGAGATCAAGGCGCCGATCTTAAACGCCCACTTTTGACCTCGTTTGACAACTCGCTCTTCCGTCTCGTTTTTCACGAGACGAGATGTTTTTCACGTCTGCAAGAGGCAATGAAACGCGTTCCTTTACGACTTCTTACGACTTACATACCGCGATAATATATAATATATAATATAATATAAAATACTCGAATACTTTTCTTTCCTAGATATAATATATCTTTCAGTTATTTATATATATATATATATCTGATAAAAACGTACTCGTAAAGACATACACTCTTGAAAGATTTTAAATAATTTATATATAATTAAATTACACACATTTTCTTACACACATTATATAATTGGAATTGTTCTCTATATTATTCTGTATTGTTCACAGGAAGTGGTCGAGGAAGGCGCTCGAAGATCTCAAGTACACTGCCGGCAACTTCTACGTGAACGACAAATCCACCGGGTCTGTAGTCGGCCAGCAGCCGTTCGGCGGCAGTCGAATGTCGGGCACAAACGATAAGGCCGGTGGGCCACATTACGCTCTCCGTTGGGCATCTCCGCAGGCTATCAAGGAGACCTTTGTGCCTTTACGGGAATACGATTATCCGTACATGAGATCGTAAGCGAGATCGTAACGCGTTGTCGATATCGAAAAAGACGCTGGTGATCGCGGCGTTATCGTATATCTCGCTGCATTATTTAGACCGGCACGAAGAAGTATATACCGCCGTTATTCAAGTGAGATATCGAATACGGGATCACCGCAGCGTGCAGTTACCGCGAATAGAGCGTGCATGCGTGCGTGCGCGTCCGTAAGTTTAAGAGGAGTGAAGTTTATCGTACTAAGGTAAAGATAAAATTAGGATAGAGTTTCGAACTCGTATTCGATCGAATTCACTTTCTTTTCACACACATCGCCGCGTAATCTGCGTGAACCGAGAGAGAATTGCAGCGTGGTTGCAAATTGTGGTGGTTGCGATAACGACGTGAAGTGTAGCTTCTAAGCAGAAACCTCAAGTGGTCTGAGCAAAGTGGTCAGATCTGTCTTTCACGGCGCGATGTTAATTATTTTCTCGTTTAATGATTTAATGGTTAAAATGTTAATACGAGAATCATGCGGAAGAGAGCAAGTTTTGCGCGATGCAGTGAAACAATGGAACGTGATAACGGAGCGACAGATAGAGCAGCCGTAACGGCGTAATGGCGTGAAACGGCGAGGGGAGAAGCCAGTCGGTGTCCAGTTGATACAGCGTGAAAGAAAAAGAAACGAGGAAACGACTTTGCGCGCAGTAGCGTGTAGTTTTTCCGATAGAGAAAGAAAAGAAAAAAAAAACAAACACAGTAAGCTCGCGAGCGCAGCACAGTGCACAATAGAGAGACACGGCTAGGTTCCTTGAAATTGGAATTTGGGAGGAAGTGAAGCGGGAAAAGTTGTCAAGTTCGCGGCTCGCAGCAAGTAACGCACACAGCAAGAGCCGTCTTCGAATGTTCCGTTGATACCGTCTCTGGCGGCGAACACACAGGGCACTATGAATCCTTTATAAGAGTCATAAATAGGAGGAGAGGAGAAAAGATTATGGTCACGATTATGGTCTGAGCGCAATCGTGAAACGCGTGAATACGATCGCGGGGAATCTGTTATAAAATTTTTCAAACTCGTTTGAAGAACGCACACACGTTCTTAATCATTTTATCTCTCCTGTCTTATATATTTATATATTTTATTTATACTAAATGCAGCAGCGTTCACACCGCTCGCGGATTGAAACATCTGGCAGTGACGTTTAATTTTGTTCTTGAATTTGTTGCGAATATTTACGTTTTCACAATTGCTCCACTTCAATCGCAGCGCGGAATTTCTCTCGCTGTATGCGTATGTAATCGTGTAAACACGATCTTGATTGTTCGCTCGCTGCCAGTCCATTACCAAAGTGCATATTGCGTACCGTGCATTTCGGGTACGTGCGATCTCTGCACCACGTACCGCGATGCATTCTCTCTCCCTTTCCCTCTCTCTCCTTCACTTTCTCCTCTCTCTCTCTCTCTCTCTCTCTCTCTCTCTCTCTCTCTCTCTCTCTCAATACGATACTTTTATAATTTAAGTAAATGATCGCATCGAACGTGGTTGAGGGAAAGGGAGAGAGAGAGAGAGAGAGAGAGAGAGAGAGAGAGAGAGAGAGAGAGAGAGAGAGAGAGAGAGAGAGAGAGAGAGAGAGAGAGAGAGAGAGAGAGAGTGTTACATGTTCTTTTCCGTACGGTACCTAATCTCATAGGGATATATATGAGTTTTATAATTATATATTCAGTATATATTATCCATAATTGATACAATATGTATATATACATACATATATGATATATATATATATTGTATTAATTATATATAATAAATATTACAATTATATAATTATATACATTAAATACACACACACATACACACACACACATCTGGTACTGTACCGTTTATCACTGTTGATAACTGTTCTCGATATCGACGAAGTAGAGTAGAACATTATCAGCAACAATTGTTAACATCAAAGCTTCAGCTTGTGTTTTTAGATGTAACTATCCACTTGTACATTTAACGAGTTTCCTTTGTACTTTCGTAGAGAGGACTGCCTCATAGGTACGCAGCTTCGACGAACTCGGTTTGTTCGTATCGTTGTAATTAAATAAGATTGTATATACAAAAAATATTTGCTGCAAAGATCCCATGTATAGTAACAGTCGATACTCCCTTCAAATGCATCACCGGTCACGATCATTGATCGTACTATATTGTTAATAATGTGGTTGAAAAAGAAAGAGAGAAAACAAATGTTACGCGAATCGAGAGAGACGAACGTCGTAATAATAATTGACAATATGTTACATATTGCGACAAGTGTTACAGCGTTATTTATTTTAAGTGTATAATAACAATAAAGAACAACAGAAATCGCTGTGTCTCTTTTATATTGTTCTATGATAAGGCGGAATCACGTGCCTTACATCGATCCGTTAATACGTCTTTTACGGGGCGATTATTCGAGTGAATAGGTTTTTCAATTCACCCGGACTCGATTAATGACACCACAAGACAACTCTACTAGCCAATCGCTAAGCTTACTGTGCATATTCGACCCAAAGAAACTGGGTTTAATTGAACCCGGGTGGGTTAAAAACCCATTCGCTCGAATACGTCGTTACTTTAGCTGCATTCGGATATTCACTACCAGTACTGAAAATCTATAGTTTATGTCATATACTCTAAAGTTTCAGTACTGGCAGTGAATATTGGAACGCTGTTCGCGCGTAATTTTGAATTGAAACCTACGGCTCTCTTCAAACGATTAATCGCGATGGTTTGAATATTCTTCGAAACCTTCAAAGATTTTGCAAGATTGTTCATCTATGATATTCACGAAACTCATTATGTGTAAAATATTCGCGCGCGCGTGTGTGTTGCGTGTGGATTCGTGATGAAAATGAGAGAGAGAGAGAGGGGGGAGGGGGAGAGAGAGGGAGGGAGAGAGAGAGAAAGGGAGGGAGAGAGAAAGAGAGGGGGGAGAGAGAGAGAGAGAGGGAGAGAGAGAGAGAGAGAGAGAGAGAGAGAGAGAGAGAGAGAGAGAGAGAGAGAGAGAGAGAGAGAGAGATGAGAGTCCCAATCAATCTATAAACGCGTTGAAAGTTTGTGAATTATTATCAAGTATTCAATTAATAATTCTACGATTGTGCGTGCAAATTTAGAATTTTCCTTCTTATATTCGATCGATGATGAATGATGAATGATCATACACAACGAACAATTCCTTCGATGTCAATTTTTCGATTTATTCTCAGCCAGCCGAATCACTCGTTCTCAATAATCTCTCTTCTCTCCACTTTCAAGCTGCAATTTGCAATTGGGATCGGCAATTGGGAAAGGTAACGGCTTTTGCACGCATATGCACGCGTGACATCTCGCGCGCGGATCTGTTGGTGCGCGTCTCATATGCCACAATTACGTCACTTGAGAACGACAGATCAGCCGTTTGTAAACGGCGTCTGATGCTCGATGACGTCACCGACACTCACACGCGTAATAATGGCGGTTGGGTGTACACGCGCGACACACACACATACTCACACATACACGTGCACTCGCGCATACGAGACATAAGGCATAATCGAGTAATGTAGCGCTCAGCGCTCGTGTGATCTCACCCAGCGAACTTCACCGCGAGGCAGCGTTTTTCGCGAGGATCGCGAGGATTCAGTTCACAAGGCTCTTGCCGACGAGCGCGAAGGCGTTTTCAAGAGAAAAGGAGGGAGGTGCGATCTCGGGGTCTCGAGCCCGCTCCCGCTCCCGCTATGTTTCCCGCGGATCGCCCTGTCGTAACACGGATCCCCGGTACTCGCACTTCTCCCGGTCTGCGTCAACGTAAACATCGCGGCGCTCAGCGCTCGCCGATCTCTTTCGTCGTTGCTTTCATCGAGTTCTGATCCTGTCGGCACGCTTATCGCGACCGTATCCTTCGTTTGTGATATCCCGCGACAAGCTCCTCCCGCTTCAAGCCACAGGATGTTCAAGAAATTTAAGGACAAACTCGCGGAGGAGATGAAGCAATCGCCCGCTAGGTTGCAGGCGAGTGTACAGCAATTGGCGCAGGTAGGCAGTTTCACCTTTCGTTCGATCCTTCGTTCGGCATGATTGCGAATAATGTAACGAACGTTTTAGCCGTCATAACCGCGCTATAACTTTCTTTTGTTGCGTGCCTTGCTATGTACACAACACACAGGCTGTCGTGTCGCCGGCTCTGTCCAACAGCTCGATTCAGGAGGTTTCGGCGTCGAATGACAATTTTAGTTTGACAGAGGATGGAGATGGTAAGCAATTTCGTTCGACGATTACATCGACGGTATTCGACCAGGAGAGATGGTTAAGAGAGAGACTAGCGAGCTGTCTCGCTTACAGAAACGCCTAGGAACACTCCGGTGAAGCATAGTTTCCAGAATATCGATCTGATGTCTCCGTCCGCTAACGCGACGGAGATGTCCAGGAGATCGTCGGTGAGCAGCATCACCAGTGACGCATCCTCATTGTTCCCCATGTACGAGAGTCCTTCTAACCTGTATCACCTGCAGGTGCGTATCATTTTCTTGTTTTCAATTCACCAAGGACAATATATAATCGAACACTCCAAGTATCCTACAAAGTTTCCCCTTAATGGTTCCCGATATATGTTATAATATATCGCGATAATGTTGTTATTAACAGTATCAAAATTATTATTACAATTTCTCCGGTAATAACAAAGAGATCTTATCCCTACAGTCCGATATGGATCAGTCAGCTAGCGAAGTAGACGACAATATCAGTCCGCATCTGGACAGAGTCACCAAAGATCAATTGTATTCGGCCTATCGCAAGGTGCAAGCCAAATATCACAAGTATCGCGGCAGGTATACGGATTTAGCGACGCATTACCGTGAGCTGGACCGAGCGAAGACCAGATTGGAGTCCGTGCTGGTCGAGACACAGGACAAGGTGCTGCGAAGGATCACCGACCTGAAGGAGCAATGTCAGCTGGAGCAGCAGGCGAAGGCGCACCTGGAAGAGGCGCTGAGAAACGACATAGAGGAGAAGGACCACATTATAAACACGTTGAACACGAAGGTGAGACTGCTGCAAGGCGGTGGATCAATCCTGGAGAATTCACCGTCGGAGGAGACGGCTGAGCAAAAGGAAAGCTCCAAGGATAATCTGATCGACTTGAGCAACGACGCGCCCAACGATGGTAGCAGCAGCGCGCTGCTGGCGGAGAACGTTCAGCTGAACGATAGAATGAAGAAGCTGGAGAGTCTTGTATTAAGGTACAAAGAGTCCTTGAAGCGTAACAAAGACAAGTTCACCGAGGCGATGAAGGAGAAGAACACGATGGAGAGTGAGCACGAGTCGTTAAAGAACAGCACCACCGAGAGGATAAGCGCGACGGAGGGCGAGCTAAGCGCGGCGCGAGCCGAGATCGCAAGCCTGACAGAACAGGTGGACGCGTTGCAGAAACGCGAAGAGGAGTCCGCGATCTCGTTGGCGGAGAACAAGCTGTCGGTGCACCGGGAGCTCGAGGAGAAAGAGGAGCAGATCAAGCAACTGCGAATCGAACTCAAGCACATGGCGGAAGAGAAGGAGAGCCTCCTGCACGAGGCCGCCGTGGCGCGTTACAAGGCCGAGGGCTCGTCGGGCAAATCGAGATCGTCGCCGTACGTAGACTCGAATTTGCTCGTGGAGAAAGTCACGATCGCGCACGACGTTTCGAAGACCGAGAAGACCGAGAGCAATGCGGCGAAGACTCTCGCGCAACAGGTAGCCGCAACGAGGCACCATGAAGAGGTCGTTCACGGTAAGGAGGCCCCCTCGAGGGACGAAAAGACGTCGGAGGGGGCGACGCTCCGTTTGCGCGAGAGAGAAGCGGAACTCGAAGGCTTGCGTCGCGAGTTGCACGAGTGGGAGAAACAGAGCATCGAGCATAGACACGACAAGGAGACACTGCAGGCCGAGTTGTCGAACTGTAAACTAAGGTACTCGGAGCTGAAGAGCGAGTACGACGCGCAGAGGATCGTTACGGAAGAGGGGCGAAAGGACGCCGACGCGACGATCGAGAAGCTGCAGGCGACTGTGCAGAGCGTCGACAAAGAACTGGAAAACATGAGAGGTGCGCTGATCGATCGGGATCAGGTGTGCGAGAACTACAACAAGAAGGTGCAGCAGTACGCGGCTATGCTGGAGAAAGCGAAGCACCGACTCGGCGAGCAAGAGACGCAGATCAAGTCGCTGAAGAGCCGCGTGGACGAGCTCGCCGCGGCGCAGCAGGAGCTGGAGAGTAAGCGGGTGGAGTTAAACGCGGTACGGGACGAGCTCGAGCTCTGCCGGTCGACGATCGATGATCTCGGCAACAAAGTCCAGGCAGATAGCTCGGTGATCAGTCTGCTGAAGAAAGAGCGGAGCGACTTGACGAACCGACTCGTTCATTACAAGGACTGCGTGCAGCGTCTGAGGCAGGATTGCGCGGAAGTGAAAGGAGTCGTGCGAGAGGAACTGTCGAGTCGGCGGGTCGAGTTGTCGCGTCTGAACGAGACTGTGGCAGCGACTCGTGTGAGGCTCGAAGAGGAAAAGGTGAGGAGGAGGAGGAGGTTGGATCTCCAAACGGAGGTGGCGTCGCGTTTTCATGCGCAAGACTCGTCGGAGCGGTCCATCATGTCCGAAGAGGCGCGACTACGCTCGGAATTGGACAAGATCGCGGGTCTCAAGTCCACCCTGGAGACGGTGCTGAAAGCGAGCAAGGAAGAGTCGACGGCGCGAAGCGACGAGCTGTCCGACACACTCGGCGCGTTGGTGAAGAAGCTGATAGCCGAGATGGATAATCTGCAGTTCAAGGTCTACGATCTGGAGAAGGTCACGCGCGAGTTGACGGAGTCACGGCGAGAAACCGAGAGCTCGAGGGATCGACTGACGGGGACGTTGGAGGAGTTCGAATTGAGATACAGGACGTTGTCGAGCGAAACGAACGATCTTAGGAGAGAGCTCGCGCTGGCTCGTCGCGCCGCCGACGAGGTGGATGCATTGGGCGCGAAACTGCACGAGGCGAACGATCTCGCGAAGCGGTTGAGGTCGCAGAGCAGCGATCGAGAGGCGCAGCACGAGGAGGAGCTGCGCGCCTCACGAGCGGAGGTCGCTCGCTCTCAAGGCGCCCTGAGCGCGAAGGATCGCGAGATCAAGAGACGCGACGAGAGAATCGCGCAGCAAGAACAGCAGCTGGCGCATCTGATCTCGACCGGCGACAGTCGTGTACAGGCGATCGAGGAGCACGCGAGGAAGTATTCGGATCTCGAGAGGGAGTACGAAGCGACGAGGGAGAGCCACGCGAAGGAAATGGCCGAGCTGACGGAGAACAACAAGGAGCTGCAGAAGACGCTCGGCTTGAAGTCCGCGCAGCTGAAGAAGCTGATGACGCAGAAGGAGCAGAAAGGCAAGATCATCGAGGAGATGAACGCGGAGCTGTGCGAGCTGAGGGCCAAGCGAACAGAGTTGTCCGACATGTTGTCGACCGCCGAAAGGCAAATCGAGTCTCTGAAGTCGGAGAATTCGCAGCTCGCGACCATCACTCTGGAGAACAAGGATCTCAAGGACAAGCATAATAACCTGCTGAGCCAGAACCGGAAGCTACGTGAGAATGAGGCGGCGATGAAGCAGAAGATGGACAGTTGCGAGAAGGAGAGGGAGGAGTCGCGCAAAGAGACGGAGTCGTTCAAGTCCGAAGCGAACGTTCTCAGGGAGGAGACGGAACGTCTGAGCGGTCAATTGACGACGGTGAGCGCGCAGCTGGAGGCGAGGAACGCGGAGTCGAGTCAGTCGAACGAGAGATTGACGATAGCGGAGGGAGAGCTGAAGGAGACGAAAGAGAGGCTCGAGGAGCGAAGCGCCGAGCTGGCGAGCAAGATCTCGGAGCTGGACGCTGTTGGGGAGAGCGGTAAGACATTGAAGGAAGAGAACGAGCGACTGCTCGCGCAGCTGAAGTCGCTGAAGGACGAAGGCTGCAGGATCCAGAAGTTGGAGGGTGAGAACGCACAGTTGCGCTCGCAGCTCGGTGAACTGACGCGTATGAGCGTCGAAGCGGAGGCAATTCGCGCCGAAAATGACAAGCTAGCGGCCGAGCGGGCGATCCTGCGAGAGAAGATGGTCATCGAGATGGAAGGTCTGAAGAGCGGCAAAGCGGAGCTACAGTCCAGGGTATCCGGATGGGAGGCTCTGAGCGCGGAGAACGAGCGGCTGCGCGCGGAGCTCGTGGACGCTCAGCGTTCGGCGAGCTACAATTCGTCCATGGAATTGAGCGCCCTGAAGGACTCACTGTCGCGGAAAGAGTCGGAGATGAAGTCTCTGGAGCGGAAAAACTCGGACATGTCGCGCGAGATGACGGCTCTCAGGCTCCGCTCAGGCTGCGCGGATACGTCGAAAGGGGAGACGATCGAATCGCAGTCGGAGACCGTGTCTCTCGCCACGTCGCGGAAGGCCCTGGGGAACATGCGCGGCGACACGGACAGCAACGACAAGCTGCGCGAAGAGAAGGAGAGACTGGAGGCTCATCTCGACGAGGCGCTGATCACGTTCCAGGCGAAGGAGACGCAGATGCAGCTGGCGAACAACGAGCTGAGGGAGCAAGTCGGTCAGTTGAAGGAGCAGGCGAGGACCAACGAGGAGGAGCAGAGTATGAGGCTGAAGCAGCTGGTGAAGGAGTTTCAGGCGCAGTTGCAGGACAAAGAGGAGGAGCTGCAGGCTGCGTTGGAGAAACGTTTCGGTAAGTTGATCCAGCCAGGGACATATCGTGAGAATTCAATGGAGAGAAATAGACAACGAACGAGGGGTTCGCACGAACCGCGTCGCCATCGGACGGGATACACCGCGATATTGCTTGCGCGATATCCTGTGACGACGACGTCCTATGACACGATGATGCAACAAAGATATATCACACACGGGTTGCCCTTTGCACCAGCAAAAGCTAGTGGGAATTTTTCGCTGGGACAAACATTCGAGGTCGATAGACACACTTCTTTCTTTCGTAATCGCTGATCGCTGAAGATAATCTCTCCCTCTCCCTCTCCCTCTCTCCCTCTCCCTCTCCCTCTCCCTCTCCCTCTCCCTCTCCCTCTCTCTCTCTCTCTCTCTCTCTCTCTCTCTCTCTCTCTCTCTCTCTCTCTCTCTCTCTCTCTCTCTCTCTCTCTCTCTCTCGTAGTTGATTGTTTTTTCCTCAACGATCTCTCGGTCCTTTGTGTGTACTTGTATAATATCGAATCGAGACAAACAACACAACAGATCTGTATCGTTTTGCGTAACATTCGCAATCGAGTTATCGAGCTATCAATTACACAAATCTGGCGAGTGAGCGCGCGCTGAGATGAAGTCTCGAGGAGGAGTCCCTCGCGATATCAGACAGTCGATCCAACGATTGATGAGACACGAGTAGAGCGACTGTCCTCTCCTCGCCGCGCGCGCCGGCAACAGTCGCTGGATCGACTGGACCGGAATTGTGGGCCGAACGACCAGCAACGTTTCTCCAATCATCCATCCTCATCCACTCATCATATTTCCGTCATTAACAATTCGATAACTATAGCGAAATAATTATATCGCGAAACGGTACGGGACTTTTATATCAAATGTCTCAATCCGCGTTCTGTTTCCACGAATTCCTCGTGAGCTGAGTTACGGGACATCCTTGCGCGTGTGTGTATGTGTGTATCATCATCATCATATTTATACGCACATAAAGTGAGATAACAATACTGATACCCAAGTAATACTGACTTTCAAGTTTCAACGTTCGCGCGCGCAATACAATAACTGGCATGCACTCATCATGTAGATCGCCTGCACAATTACGAGTCAGACCTCGTGCAGCAATACAAGGAGCAGCTGAAAGATTTCCAAGGAGAACTCGCGGAGAAATCCGAACAGATCGAGAGCCTGGTGCTTGAGAAGAAGGACGCGGTGGCCGAGAAGGGGAAAGACATCGATCGTCTGATGGAGACAATCGCGCAGATGAAGAAGGAGCATGCCGTCGAGGTTCGAGAGGTGGAGAGGAAATGGAAGGCTATAGTGCAACAGAAAATCGACAATTTGCAGGCGAAACACGAAGAGGAATTGAACGAGTTGACGAAGGAATGGCAGAACGAGAGGAAGGTGAGTCAACGCGTTAAGTTGAGGAAGGTAAAGATAGATGGATATATAGATATAGATAGATAGATAGAGATAGATGATAGAGGTAGATGGGGCGTATCGATGAGATAGATAGATTCGGCACGAACCGTCGTTCTCAGCATGTGCGTATGTATACAGAGTTAGGCCACAATAACTACTACCACCTTGCATACTTGGAGAGAACGGGGGTGATTCGAAGAGACTTGAGAGTTACTTCATGTAGAAGAGTTTCAGCTGACTGCTTCTATACCGCGTATAATTTTCCTTCGATAAATTTTATTCCTACTCACATTCGGAAGAAGCCGACAGATGGCGATAGTCGATACTGAATACCTGCATATATGTATATACGTATATATGTAGCATATATGTATATACATACATATTAGAGATGTACGAATCAAAAATTTCTATGTCGAATCGAATCGAATCTCATTTATTAAATTCGAGTTCGAATCGAATCGAATCTATGAAATTTCACTTGAATTCGAATCGAATCGAATGAAATTGAATAGAATCATAAAAAAATTTTACATGACTATTAAATATGCAAATTTTTATGAATGGGAATACTGATATTGTAATATCATCTTAAAATAAAATATATATTTAAATATTTAAAGTAATTTATAATTAAGTTATTAATTATAAGTTAAGTTAATTATAAGTTAAGGGTTCAAACATACAGGCCCAGATGGCCCGTTTTGTAGCTGATGTACGCAAACGATAATGTATTCCTATTTGAATTATTCGGATTCGAATCATAGCGATTCGGATTCGAATTGAATTACATTAGATTCGATTCGATTCGAATTAGAATAGTTTGCATATTTCTAGTACACACACACACACACACACATATATGTATGTATGTATATATATATATATGTATGTATACACAGGATCCAGTATTGAGAGAGAAAGGGAGAGGGAGAGGGAGAGGGAGAGGGAGAGGGAGAAGGAGAGAGAGAGAGAGAGAGAGAGAGAGAGAGAGAGAGAGAGAGAGAGAGAGAGAGAGAGAGAGAGAGAGAGAGAGAGAGAGAGAGAGAGAGAGAGAGAGAGAGAGAGGGAGAGTTGACGCACACGCTTTTTATATACACGCGTATATGCATATATAAGAAATGTTTTCATTCAATGATTTTTAATCTTTGTTCGTTTGCCTTGATGCGTTTACATTGTTTTCAGCCCGATGTACAGACTGAAACTGCTATTGAGGTAAAGCTTTTCTTTAGTTTTTTTCTCTCTGTTACTTTTCTGTTGTCCACTTTTCTTTCTCGATGCATAGATGTAGCGTATGTTGTATACGTACGTGCGTGCGTGCGTATGTATGTATCTATGTATATATGTATGTATGTATGTATGTACGTATGTATGAATGTACGTATGTACATATGTACGTATGTGCGTATGTACGTATGTATGTATGTGTATATGTATGTATGTACGTATGTACGTATGTATATATGTGTTATGTTTTTTTGTCGCATGTATGGTTTTGACAGCAGAGCTTTGTTTGATCGCGATCGAGTCGCTGTAACGTTTTCACTCAACTGAGATTTCCACGCAGGAGTTGGAGAGTACGTCGCGCGTGGCGATGGCTGCGATACAAACGAACACTGGTTCGATTCATACGATGCAGCAGACCCTAACGTCGCAGCGACGGGAGATTGCGGAGCTTAGGAAGTTGGTAAAGTTGCGACACGACACTTTGGAGGATTCGACGGAGATTGAGTACTTGAGGAACATTTTGTTTGAATATATGATGGGACGGGAGACTATGGTGCTCGCTCGAGTGATAGCGGCTGTCGTGAAATTTGATCAGGAGCAAACGTCGAAGATAATGAAGAAGGAAGAGGATAAGCTGACTTTGGTAAGTCATCATAGTCGAGGGGTGAGAAAGTCTTTTGCAATTTTGTAATCGTATTGCGTTTTAATTTTACTATATGACTAATGTACGCTTGTTTTTGCAGTTCGGTTCTCTGGGTCTCACGTAATTCGAAAAGAGATATAAGATTTGGTTGAAATGTTTTGTAGACAGATAGGTAGATGGATGGAGAGCAAGAGAGAGAGAGAGAGGGAGAGAGAGAGAGAAAGAGGGGGAGAGAGAGAGAGAGAGAGAGAGAGAGAGAGAGAGAGAGAGAGAGAGAGAGAGAGAGAGAGAGAGAGAGAGAGAGAGAGAAAGTTTCAGTCGCAGTGACGTGTGTTGTGAATGTATCTTCATAATTAATGCAAGTGTAAGTAAAAATTGTACAAAGAGAATATAAATATAGAGTGCGAGAAAGTGAGGAAGTTGTGAGATGTAATATGTACAAGTATAATTTTTTTTCTTTTTTATAAATACTGAAGTGACGTGTTATATATACATATATATATACATACATTTGTATATCATAAAATAGATACAACCCTATATAACGAGATAAAGATTTAGAAATAGAGTGAATGAATACAAGAGACACGCTCACATCTTTGATTGAACGTGTATAAAAAAGTGGCACGATGACGCCGATGCGTGTCGAGTGTTACGACACGATAGAGTCACGAGAGTACTTTTACACATAAGGCAGTAGCAATATTTCGTATACTTATAATATATTTCGTACGATAAAGTAATTGTGTAAGAAACGGCGATGTGTACATGTATAAATATACACTGTAATTAATAAAGCATGCTTATTCGGAATGCGATATGCGAAGGGACCAGCGGGTTTCGTTGTGGCCAATGACGAAAGGTTGAAAGATGGTATCGCCTTGCGTATTATAGTGAACGCTGGTCCCAGTTTTCCGAGTCCCGTTAATACTGAAGGTATTGACAGCGCAACGTGAAGACAACACATCTACCAACTCAGTTTTTTCAGCTGTCAACTCATCGTAACATCGAAATCTGTGAACGTAGGAAACCTGTGCACAGCTATTCCTTAGTTGAGGAGCTCTCATTTTGGTCCTAACGACTATCTCATTTATGCGATGTGATGTGAAATCACATGAGATCTAAGAAATATTCCGAAACACATTTTTCCTTTATATAAATTATCTCAAGGTAAATATTACCTATAAGCAGAGCAAAAAGTATTGTTTGAACATTTTATTTCTTTTAATAAAAAGTAATTAAAGAAGAGAGTCTAAAAGTCAGCAATATTGGCCTAAACTGCAAACCTTTAGAATCTAACGAATTATCTTGTATGCCAAAGTAGTAGTTGTAAGACAGTATTCTTTAACCAAAAAAATAACGGTGCAAAATGAATCAAAGAGGTCCAAATATTGGCTACTTAAGGCAATGAATGGAAAGACTTAACCCATTGGATTTTATGCTTAGACTACGTGAGATATTATCAAACTAACGTATATAAAGGAAAACGAATAACATGAAAGTCATGTAAAAGTTCAGGAGCGATTGTTTAAATCTTCTACTGGGAGTTGAGAGCCGAAATTTATGGTGAATGTAATGTTTTTACAGGACTATATTTTGGTGCAAAAAACAGGCCTGTATCTCTAGCCGTTTAGGAGATATCGAAGATTAAAATTTTCCAACTTGTACCGTTGATATCTCCGCTTCTACCGGGATTTGAGAGCAGAAAGTTATGGTGAATGTAGGGTTTTTACAGGACTATATTTTGATGCAAAAAACAGGACTGTATCTCTAGCCGTTTAGGAGATATCGAAGGTTAAAGTTTTCCAACTTGTACCGTTGATATCTCCGCTTCTAGTGGGAGTTGAGAGTAGAAAGTTATGGTGGGTTGTAGGGTTTTTACAGCACTATATTTTTGTGCAAAAAACAGGACTGTATCTCTAGCCGTTTAGGAGATATCGAAGGTGAAACTTTTCCAACTTGTACCGATGATATCTCCGCTTCTACTGGGAGTTGAGAGTTGAAATTTATGGTGAATGTAGGGTTTTTAAAGGACTATTTTGGTGCAAAAAACAGGCCTGTATCTCTAGCCGTTTAGGAGATATCGAAGATGAAAGTTTTCCAACTTGTACCGTTGATATCTCCGCTTCTACTGGGAGTTGAGGGTAGAAATTTATAGTGGGTTGTAGGGTTTTTACAGCACTATATTTTGGTGCAAAAAACAGGCCTGTATCTCTAGCCGTTTAGGAGATATCGAAGGTTAAAGTTTTCCAACTTGTACCGTTGATATCTCCGCTTCTACTCGGAGTTGAGAGTAGAAAGTTATGGTGGGTTGTAGGATTTTTACAGAACTATATTTTTGTGCAAAAAGCAGGCCTGTGTCTCTAGCCGTTTAGGAGATATCGAAGGTTAAAGTTTTCCAACTTGTACCGTTGATATCTCCGCTTCTAGTGGGAGTTGAGAGTAGAAAGTTATGGTGGGTTGTAGGGTTTTTACAGCACTATATTTTGTGTACATACGTTCGCTTGCAAGCGATTGATCTACATGCCGATATGCGCATGAAATACATGGCTCTTAAAGATAATAATATAAATAAGTCGTCCAGTACGACTTTAGACGTAATTTCTTCCACGAGCCCAAAAACTGTTGCAACATCAACAGGAGTATAGGATATTCTTCCTCTTCTTTAGTATAAATCCAATGTAACTGCACCGCTTTGTCATAGGATGACAAGATTTTCTCCAACGTATTTCTTTCGAGGGAAACAATAGTCCTAAATAGTAACATGCTCTTATAACTGTAACAACTACGTTGCGGTTCGTTTCTTTTCCGCTCAATAGCTCTACACGTTTCATACTACATAAATTTCACAAGTATGTTCATCATCATCAAGGTACACATTCACATACAGAAAAATGAGTAAGCTTGTGCAAGAATTACAATTTCGTTGGTTTTTGAGCTTTGCGAATCGATGAAATCGCGAAATAATCTGCCCATGCTCGATGCTAACGCTCTACTTTTTTCCTTCAGTTTTTCATCGTAGCTTCTTGTCCGTGAGTCTTTCAACATATCAAATGATGATTTTAAAACCAATAGAAAATCCTCGTCAACGTCCATTGTCAGACGCTCTCTCGACGCTCTTGGCGTTGTTGATCCTCTTCGTTGTAGCGTACTACGTTGTGGCGCACGCTAAACAAGTGAACGTTAGAGAAAATTATTTCACGGATACTGTGCGACATACAAATGATACGTCGAATGTATCACTCATTTCTCATTACCCGATTCGCCAAATTTGTATCTTTCCTCGCTTATGCTTCCGCCAGTGTGCATCTTTGAAAAGAAACGCGTCAATAATTTGCCAATACCACTCAAGAGAACTTGTACAAACATGCGAGATTCAGCGTTACGTTCAGCAGGATTAGCATCCGACGAATGATCAGAGGCCGGTGGGGTGGGTCAGATTGGTGTATACTTTTATTTATATTACCGATCAGCGATAAACATCTCATCGTATCCTTACAAGATTCTTCGTTTACTCAACCTCACAGGAGCGATCCTTATATCCTTACCTGATTCTCTATAGATAAAATTAAGAACTACTTTCTCGTCGAAAGTAAATCAAGAGGTAAATCGTACGGGAATACTAATTACTAATAGCGGCAACTGCTTTGACGGTAATAACGAAATATTTATTGACATTTAACTCTCAAGCGAAAATACGCGAAGCGCGTTTACACAAAGAATATATTATATAAATCTTATTAAGACAATACGATGACCAAATTATCAACAATTTATATTACAGTTTCACAAATATTTATAAATACATAGTATAAAAATTATTAAAGGTTTTTGTATGCGAATTTCACCCTTTCTTAGGAGTAACTCTCATCACGAATGAACATGATAATTGAAGACTAGGTATTTTCTTGTTTCAGCATAAATGGCAGGTATTTTGTACGCGTGTTTGCGCCATGTGTAACACAAAGTATCATCGATATTGCAATGTCAGCTAAATTATATGGTATGGTTACGCAACAAGTTGCTTTGTTATATAACAAAGTAACAGTCACGTAACATACCATATGATTTAGCTGACATTGCAACATCGATGATACTATTATGTTTACCGGGAAAGAACATAATTTGTTGTCAAGATCGCTCAGCCGTAGTAACATACAATCTATTACAATCTGCTGATATAATATCTGTTGATTTATGAAGAACCATGCATATATGATCGCCAATTACTTATGATATTATTTACCAATTTGTTTATTTCATCGAACATTTCTTTACACAAGAAATCATTACCATACCGATATCTTTCAGTGACTATATCCAATATATTGGAGTGAGTAATTGCTACTTCCATCCAAATCGGCTTTATGAGATCTATCGAGGAATGTGTGCTCAATTTATCTAAAATATGTTGTAAACTCTGTAGTTGCAATTTATGCAATTTCTCTCGCTTAGTTCTATCATGTTCATAGCCTGCAAGATATTTGTACGCGTTGGCATTGCCTCGCATCATCGTCACATACATTGACATACAAGGATCTTCACTGGTATAGATTATTAGGGGTTTAGTTAGTGTAATGTACTCTTGTGCTGTACGAATACGCGCCAAAACAGCCGTAAAAACTGCTTTGGTATCATCATAACTCGAAAGGTGCTTATCCGTGATCTCAGCAGTGAATCCTTCGAGATCTTGTATCGTGTCAGTGAATACTAACGACTGATCAGACTGCTTTTCGGACTCTTGCGCAGATAATAGTTGGGACTTGCATGTCGCGCGAGGTTCATTTTCTACAGCGTGCAATAATCGTTCCCGCGATGACTGCAACAGCTTGAGGCCGTATCTCGCCCAAGTCCAATCAATAACACTCGTAGTTTCTCGATACATATCTGACAAAATCTTATCTGACAAAATCTCTTCGATCGAGTTTTCTCGTTCGTCCATTTTCACATATATTTTCTGACAGTGCTTGTCCATTATAAAGGAAGCCGCAGCAAGATGTTTCTTAGCTTCGGGAAAACGTTCGTAACTTATGAAAATTTGGGCTAAAGATATCAAATGCGTAGTCCACCCAGTATCGTCTGTATCTGACAATGTCCTATTCAACAACCTCCTCAGTAACTTATGTTTACACACGGCTATTTTATCGATGATTATCCAGTTAGATACTCTATCTGTCTTTTCACTTTTACGCTCCGCTAATAAGTCTCGGAAAACTTTTGTACAGAGCACCTCTAGCATAAATTCAGGATCTGACGAGTCAAGGGTGACAGAGGATACAATATCAATAGGAGCCAGATACTCATCTTTATCCGTGACATATGTCAGATATAGCTGTAGTACTTTCTCAAAAGCTACCAGAGACGCTTCACGCTTATGCAGCTTGCTGTAAAAACAACCTAAACAGCTAACAAAATAGCTTTACGATCTGTCTCCTTTCCTTTAAAAAGCTCCGTACATCTGCTAATGTGGAATCGAGCAGTATCTAATTTTGTGTCATCTTCGCTGTCAGCATATATACGGTGCAGCAGTAAGTAGGCATATGCGAGAAGTACAATATTATCGACGTTTAACTCTTCCGATGTGATTATGTCACGGTAAAATTTGTCCATCTTCGATTTTATCCCTTTGATCATTTTATTCTGTTTCTTGGAAAAGCAAGCCTCTTTTACGTCCGCCATAACCGTGCGCAACGATTTATAAATTTCAACATATTCTTCACTAACGTTTATCGTCCAGCGCGCTCGTCCTCGGTATCGGTATTCTCGGTATCTTCGGCAATATCAACCGGCAATACCGCTGCCGGAATGGATGCTAAACAAGTCAACGTTGAAATATCATTTTCTAGACAATACGTAGAGAAGAGAGAAGAGAAAACACTCGTTTCAAATGTACATGTTATTCTTGTCTATTACCAGATTCGATAGATTCACATCCTCGCTCATTCGTGCTTTCGTTAGTGGACATGTTTAGAAAGAGAAGCGTTGATCGATCGATGACATCAACGAGGACTCCTCGTGCGAGCACGAGCGTCTTATTGATCACGTTCAAGAGAACTGGCGTCAAGTAATACCACTTGGCCGTTAGTGAATATAGGATCAGTGTACACCTTCAGATCTTGTTTAGCTATAAAGCAAGCGCATATGTAAACATACAAATATGTACTCGCATGTGTATCAAAGTATCTTGATCACTTATTCCGGCTGAAACAAGCATTCCTCTTGCCTCGCCGAGATCACTTATACAGAGACGGATATCTTTTTTTCTCTCAGATCAAATATCGATAGAAATTAAATATTGTTGAAGGATCAAACACAGAGAGGTGCAATAATAACTGGAATCAACGATAACCGATATATCTTGTTGTATAATAATAACGTCGTATATCGTAGTTTATGTTATCCGAGACGTTCACATGTGTCGGTAAGGTGTCTATTTGGAAGCATATAAATTACTCCTTAATATTATGATACTCTTTAACACTTCGGACAGTATAGTTGGCATTTCACTGTTTGATTCATCGGCTGGTTCATCAGTCGACTGTCCCGATTCCTTCGGTGGATCAAATTGCAATCGTGAAGATTCGTACATTACATCGAACACATCATTAGTACAAATGAGTGTTTCAATAACCACCGGCCAGATATTAAAATCACCATTAGGATGTATTTTCTAAAGTAGTTAATAAAATCTGTAAACGTTGTTTACAGATGGAATTGTATAAACGTTGTTTATACAATTCCAATTTATTAGTTCCGCTTACATAGCACGCGAAAAATTTAATATAATCGACAAATACGTTATTGGAGATTTCTCAAAAGTATAGTATGTTATTTCCTCATCAAGATACTTCATAACAGTCTCGAAAAGTATATTAGCGTCAGTATAACTCAATAAGTAGCTATCTGTGATCGTGGCAGTGAATTTTTTCAGATTTTCCCTTACGTTATCAAATATTAACAATTTATTAGATTCCTTGGATTCCTTGGATTCCTTGAATTTTGCTGGAAATAACGATGTTGAATTACACACCTCGCAAAGTTCCTTCGCTGTACCATGCAAAATTCTTTCTTGTGATGAACATAAAAGTTGTATTCCATATTTTGTCCAATATTTAGCAATATCAGCAGATGCTTGTTGATACTGCTAATCTATCGATCTCTTCTCACTAGGATTCTTTCGTTCGTCCGTTGTTACGTATTGATTCTCATAAAATTTCTTCATCATAAATGACGCAGCTGACAGCAGCAAGATGACCTCTAGCCTCAGTAAAACGATTGTGCATTATGAAGTATTCGGATAAAGACTCTACCATCAGAGTCCACGTTGCACAATCTGCAGTTGGCGATAGACTATCAAATCTTTTACTCAATAACTTATGCTGACACCTTGCAATTTTATCAGTGTACACCCGATTCGTTGCTACATGCGTACCTAAATTTGCATGCCCCTTCAACAAAGCATCCATAACTAATGCACCTCTTTTTTCCAGTAAATCTATCGGGTCTAAACATTTGAGGCCAAAATGCGGCGCGATGTAGAAAGGTGCAGGATACGTTTCTCCTTCGTCAGTGTAGGCCAAGTAGAATTGGAACGCTTCATTGAAAGCTAATAGAGATAATTCCTCATTGTTTTGCTTATGATACAAAGTGCCCAAGGACGAATACGCTTAGTGCTATTAAAATAAATTTTTGATCGGGCTCTCTTCCTTTCAACAACTCTATACATTTCGTAATAGCATCTTCGGCAAACGTTATTTCCTTATTATCCGTTTCAGCAATACGTATATCAAACAGATATAGATAAGCTTGCGCAAGAGTCGCAATCTCATCTGTTTTTGCATCTTTCGCGATTCTTTCGATTATGCCATTGTACAATATGTACATCCTCGATAAAATGTCTTTGATCACTTTACCGTGCTGTTTATTACGCTTATTTGTTTTCGCAGCGATCCTAATGTGATAACATGATTTAAAAATTTTAGCGAACTCTTCCCTGACGTTTATTGGAAAGTCTTCGCTGTTACCGGTGTTCACGACTGACTCCGCTGTCGCAATGGATGCTAAACAAGTCAACGTTAAAATATTATTTCGCGAATATCATACAAAAAAAAAGTTAACGTAGACGTATGTACGCAAATGTGGAATTTGTATCAAACATAGCGATGTTTTCTATTACCAGTTTCATTGGATTCGTATTCCCCTTTGCTCGTGCTTTCGTTAGAAGACATCTTTGCAAAGAGGCGCCCTGTTATTATTGATAAGAATTTCTCATAGAAGCACAATGTATCAGTGATCAAAGTGGGCAGATTTAACGTGTAGCGAGTGATTACCGCGGTCAGTGAGTCTGATTCGTACATACTTTTAGGTCTCGCTTAGATCTAAATGTAAATAATACAGCTATCCATAGACAAGGTGCTTGGGTCAATTATTCTGGCGGAAACTTATCTCATTATCGCGGAGCCACCTATGGGTAAAATAATGAATTATTCTCCTCAGGAGAACAAATTGAATATCCTTCAAGGGGCATTCGAAAAATCTGGAAACGGTAGTAGTTACAATAATTAAATATTCCTTCTTAATTCTTTCTCAATATTTTTCATACCGAAAGTCAACCGATAAGCAATTGACACAATATTAACTTTGTTTTCACAAAAGTTGAACACAGCATGTAACAACCCGTACAGCTTTGATAAAAATTTCACTGATCAATCAAAAGTCCAGTTTCATCCACTAAAGCTGTTTCGATAGTCATCATTACTTTACTCAATTATGCTCTTAACACTCCCATCATCTCTTGTTCAATGTTCAAGCAGGAATCCCCCGGTATTGTCGACGCTCTCAACTGGTTCTGCTGCCACAATGGATGTTAAATCTTGTCAACGTCAAAATATTATTTTCCAGCTAATATGCAACATGCTCATTTCAAATGTATTTCTCTTTTCCATTTACGACAGATTCGACAGACGTACACCTATGCTCGTTTCTGCTTTTTCGTTAGTAATCTTTAGGAAATATCGTGCTATCCATAATAGTAGAGTATACACCATATAAGTAAAGTACATTGAGCGACACTGTTCAATAACGTATCTTCAAGCCTCAAGTATGTATGTCGTTTCGATTACTCGATTTGGATATATCATCGCATCACACCTAGATCAAAAGGCAAGCGACGTGTGCAACGATATGTACATGTGTGCGTAACCACCAACTAATATAGTTGCAATTATGAAATACTTACCTCGTAAAGGTAAAATGTTCTCAAAGGGCTATTCGCGGAAGGTCAGCCAATAACAACAGCAACAGTCTGCTTTTTGTTTTTTTCTTTTTCAAAGAATTGTGCAAACCGATGCACATTGTGATGTGGTAGGTTGAAACGAAACAAAGTACACTTATATCTCATTGTGACTCGTCGTGTCAGAATGTAATATTTAAGAAATAAATATAATTATCATGGCAGTTCAGGAAGTTTCTTGGGAAAGAGTAAATCTACTATGTAGATATTATATCGGTTCAAAGTCATTGCACAGGAACAATAGGAGCAATAGTCAGTAACTCATAAGATTTGTAGTTGATGTTCTTTTACTGGTTCGAGACACAAAGCATGAAACAAAACAATAAAAGACAACATAAGTATTTTAAATTTTGTGTGAGTGTGTGTGCGTGAGAAGGTTACAGATATAATTATTATTTACACATCATATGTCTCATTATAAAATTTTTCTCTACTCATCATTTTATGCGTCGCATTCAGATATTTGATTCGAGTGATAAATCTACTTGCAATTTGTTTAATTATAATTTTTAATAAAGTTAATAGTTAAGTATCCAAAATAACCTTTTAATATCATACCTGTAATACTAATAAAGTTTGTAATGAATACTTTATTCCGACCTCTTCGTATATCTTTGGCGGATAGTGGTGTTCATCCATGTAGATAACTTTTTATTGTATGTTGCTTCAGATATACATGTTACAGATATTGCAAAAACTGTTAACCTTGCATGTTCGATAAATTCCATTGTAATTTCTTGCGGGATTTTCTGAAATTTTACATCAAAACAGGGATATCTATTGACAGATACATAATCAAACAGTTTGATTTCTTTGCCCAATAAACCATTATTTGTTTCGGACCACCATTTGTTCTATAGAATCTGTCGAAAATAATTTTGTATTTCGTTACATATGTCAGTGCGTAAATGCCAATGAAATGACAGCAAATGACAATAATTGTTACTTACAGCTTTATCTAGAAGAGAAACATTATTCGTATAAGAGAACTGTGGACGTGTTTCAGGAAATTTTCCTGGGCAATCTTTAAAGGAATTTTTTATTATTTCATATCTTGTTAAATTTTTAGCTTGCTCTTTATATTGATCGATTTTCTTTCGTTGTTGCAGCAAAGATAAATATTTTTCCAGCTTGTAATTAATCTCAACTACTCCTGTTCCATCCTCAACTATAAAATTACAAAAAATATTAGCTCATCTAAGGATACTCTTGATCATTAAATCAATCTTTCTATCGTTTATCATTTGGTTCTTACTTGTTAAAAGTAGGTTATCGGAATTGCGTTTAATGTTTGTAACTACTCCAATTAGATCAATTTTACGTACTTTAATATGAGGCATATTGAAGGGATGAAAGTGCACATAACGGTCTTCCTTATAAGGTATTAATCGATACAATTCCATAATGAGCATCGATATGTTGAGTGTTGCTTGTAAATCTAAAACACAATTTTGTGCGATGAGCTGTATTAGAACATAATCCTTTCTGCAAATTGTACCATCTCTAAATAAATTATGCACATGTAGCTTACCTTTATCAACACTGATGTTAATACCTGGCCATTCTGTCATTGACGAGAGATGCATCTGGAAATCATCATATTCCCTTCTACTGAAGGCAACCATACTGTTTATTAATGTTTTTTCAGACATTTCATCAATCGGGTAAAGTGATGAAGATTCGACCTCTCACAAATTTAACCTCTTTTTCGGATAATTATAATAATTAATACAGGGAAAGGTGAGAGAAATTACGCTGTAATTTTGTTGTTACCCAATGTGTGAACAATGTTGATCATCGAAGGGAACAGTAAATGATACTCAATGCGTTATATCCTTTCTCGCAACAGCTCTGATAACGAATGTTATCGAGTTTCGACTATAAGTGACTATAAAGGCCTATTCAGACAAACTTGCATAAGCGCGTAACGCATATGCATAAGGAAATTGACCAATTATGATCCGTGTAGTAAAAAAATGTTTTTTGTATTAAACATACGATTAGTCAATTTTCTTATGCATATGCGTTACGCGCTTATGCATAAGGAAATTGACTAATCGTATGTTTAATACAAAAAACATTTTTTTACTACACGGATCATAATTGGTCAATTTCTTTATGCATATGCGTTACGCGCTTATGCAAGTTTGTCTGGATAGGCCTTAAGGGCAAGAGCACAGGCTTTTGCATAACACATAATACATAATGCATAAGAGAATAAACCAATTAGTTTTCTTCATTTCCCTCCTCAGGACAGAAATGAAGAACTCTGATTGGTTGATTCTCTTATGCGTTGTGTATTATGCGTTATGCAGAAGTCTGTGCTCTGGCCCAAAGGGCCCAAATCAGAGTTCTTCATTTCTGTCCTGAGGAGGGAAATGAAGTAAACTAATTGGTTTATTCTCTTATGCGTTATGTATTATGTGTTATGCAAAAGCCTGTGTTCTTGCCCTAAGGGTCTGCAGGAGCCACACTAGAGACCTCTCGTGGAGACCCGCGAACTAGGCAAGATTATTGGTCTGTTCTTTGTAGCTGCACTGTTGAACTGGTGCAATAAGTTAAAGTGAGACAAATATAGGTTTTCTCATTCTAGCTTATTGCACCAGTTCAGCAGTGCAGCTACAAAGAACAGACCATATATTAGAAATTATGACCAAAATATGGAGAAAATCATTTTACATTTGCAATCAGGATTAACGTCCGCAGGGACGTTCGCAGGGGACGTACAGAGCGCTTTTTTGGAAAAAAAAATCTAAATAAAAATCGAATAAAAATTTTGAATGAAAGTTCATCCCGCGGTGCCTACATTTCCATTTATTACAAATTTTCAAGGACCTAAGAGCAAAATCAGGCTCTGTACGTCCCTAGATACTAATAAAAGGAAGATGCCCATGTAAGTTAGATGAGCGAAAATGATGCCTGCGTGGTAAAATATCTTTTGGTGCAAATAACACGGAAAGTATACCCCAGCTGTATCATGGTGCAGTCTATATGACCTAACCTTCCTGCTCTTGCGCTCGCGCGAGCAACGTGTAACGTTCCACCATATTAAAATTCTCTATCTTCTCACCAAAACTCACCATACCTTTTCCTACCCAATCAAATCCTTACCTATCATCGACTAATCCAACTGCAACGCCTCCTACAAACACCTCTGCAATCAACAGGTACCTCTGCCGTCTTTTATCGTTAATATAATATAATATCATTAATACTCGAAACTATTTACTGAATCATCATCTATCTTCTTCTTTCTCTCTCTTCCTTCTACCTTCTTGCTTCGTTTAGTAAGCGATAGATTATCAAACAACTAAATAACATAAAAATAATCATAAATAGCATATTTTGAAATAAAATTAACATTAACATAGGACTGAAGCAGACATCGACATAGTAAATATTTAAAATAGGAAAAGAGAGAATAAGAAAATTTAAGAAATAAATTTAGAGCTAGCTTATAAATTCATTTGTCTCGGGGACTAAGAACGATTTCGTTCGGGCACAGCCGCGCACATATTGGAATGTGTTTATGTTATAGATATCATCGAGTGATAGCTGTCCCACGTACTGCGAACTAAACAAAGACCTGAAACAAAGACTCGAGGAGGAAAATAATTTCCTTTCTTTCTTCTATTTTTTTTCTTTTTAAACGATATTAAATAATTGCCATCATATTTCGCAAATAATTCCTCAAATATTATTGTCAAACCGCCTATTCTAATGTATATGCGCTTTAGAATTATAAGAGTATCTATTCGTATTATTTAACTTTAACGATTACTACGCCTGAATGAAATAATTCTTTTAAGTTTCCAAATTCTTATATTATACCAAAGGAAATCAATAACAACATTTCCATTTCTTAGTAAAACATAATTTTATTAATAAATCAGCCAACAACGAGACAACTGAATTACCAAACGTTACATATGATTAAGTATAATTTTAATTACTAGATAATAACATTTTTATATTTTTTAACCAATAAATAATGAAGGGTGAATTAGGAAAAGACGCTCAATTGATATCCATAGTGTCGGGCTTGGGTATAAAAAGGGCTCGGCCCTTCGCGCGCAGGCAGTCTCTCGGCAGTCTCTAAGCAGTCTCTTGTTAGCCTTCAATTAGCCATCAGACAATCTTTCGCTGAGCCTCTTGTTAGCCGATTGCCAAAGGGTCTTGAGCCTGGAATAAAAAGGTCGGTATTAAAGATTATTATTCTTGGGAATAATCCCGTCTCCAGCTCCGTCTGCAAATGCTAAGACGCTTGTTAAGACGTAAAATCCAAATCATTAAAGGTCGAACGAGCCTCTTTTCCTCATAATGATACTATAGAGAATCATTTCTATTACTTGAATAAGTATTGAGCCAGCTATTAACTACATTAAATTTAGTGTATGAATTTTTAAACTTAACAATATAGAGTAATTTCATAATATATATATATATATATATATATATATATATAATATATATATGTGTGTACAGATTTCTTTACCTTTCTTCCCTCTTATCATCTTCAATCTTTTTCCAGAACGCCGTGCTTGAACCACGAGCACCGTTCTTCTTTCTTTTACCTTAAGAGTGTTGTACTTGAACCACGAGCACCATTCCTCCCTTTTTGTCAGAGCGCAGTGCTTGAACCACGAGCACAGTTCTTCTCTTCCTTACTTTAAGAGTGTTGTGCTTGAACCACGAGCAC